GGTGCAGCACCAGCTGCTCATAGTACACGGGCAGGCACTTGTCGCGGCCCACCTCCATGCACTGGGCGTACATCACCTCGATGGCCTTGTTCCACTTGGTGAGGCAGTCGCGGTAGCTGCTCAGGTCGAAGCCGGCGATGGTGACCTTGCGCGTGATCATGGAGTGCACCGAGGCCCGGCCGTCGCGCAGCATCAGCAGGAACTTGGAGTTGGGGAAGAGGCGCGACAGGTAGACGGAGGACTTGAGCGTGAAGGGGTCCTTGTTGCAGAGCACGCGCGCCGGCTCCCCGTGCTTGGCGATCACCTCCAGGATGAAGGCCTGCATGGCGGCGTCCAGCACCTCGTCTGTCACGCCCGCCTCGTCCAGCCGCAGCTTCTCCCGGCCCGACTTGGACCAGGCCTGGCGCATGGCCAGCACGCGCGGGATGATGCGGGTCTCCTCGCCGCAGCGCACCTCCGGGTGCGCATCCAGCATGGCGCGCATGAGCGTGGTGCCGCTGCGGGGCACGCCGCCCACGAAGATGAGCGGCATGGTCTTGCCGTAGCGGTACTCCACGCGGTCGGCGCCCACCACCACCAGCTCCTCCTGCTCCGGCCGCATGGCCCGCCGCGCGCTCCGCGGGCCCCCCAGCGCCGCGCGGCACTCCAGCACCTGCTGTCCCAGCTGTACCGCCAGCACCAGGGCCAGGGCGCAGCCGACCGCCAGCAGCGCCCTCCGAACCGACAGGCGCATGCTGGGCCGGGGACGCGGCAGGCCCGGCCTGGGCGCCCGCTTCAACGATGAGTCAGCCGGTGGCCTGCCGGGCTCACGTCTGGGGAGACAGAGAGGGGACGCACGCCATCAGGGAGGCCTGCGGGCCGGGGGCCGTCACAGCACAGACCCCAGGAAGGGCAGAGGTGCCTCTGCAGGCATTTAGGGACAGAGCGCAGCCCACCTGACCCACCCTAACTCACAGGATCCTCCCGCAGTAACAGGGAGTGGTCTGGCTATTATCACCCCCTCAAAGGACTCTGGAGACAGAGGTGGGGTTCTGACCTTACTCCCTGCTTGCCAGCGCTGGGACCTTGGACAGCTCCCAATCGCTCAGTGGCGCCCTCCTGGGACAGGGGATTGCAAAGTCCCTGATTGGGAGGCCCATGTCCCATATTGGAGTGTTTGCGTTCAAGTCCCGACTCCGCTCCCGATTCCAACTTCCCGCTAACATGCACCCTGGGAGACAGCAGGAACTCTGGCCTGTCCCAGAGGATGGAAGAGCTGTCTTTTAATTAAATAAGTAAAATACTGGGGCTGATGCTGTGGCGCAGGTGAAGCCACCATCTGCAGCTCCGGCATCCCACATGGGCCCTGGTTCGAGTCCCGGCTGCTCCACTTCCGATCCAGCTCCAGGCTAATGCACCTGGGAAAGCAGTGGAAGATGGCCCAAGTGCATGGGCCCTGCACCCATGTGGGAGACCTGGATGAAGCTCCTGGCTCCTGACTTTGGCCTGGCCATTGCGACCATTCTGGGAGTGAACCAGCAGATGGAAGCTCTCTCCACACACCCCCCACCCTGTAACTCTGTTTATAAAAAATAAATTTTGAAAGTTCCTGTGCCTCAGTTGTCTCGTCTGATCAATGGAGATGCTATAACCATTATACAGTTTACTATCAAAATGTGGAAAAGAGGAAGCCGCGGCGTGCCAGGCTCCAACAGCAGGAACTCCTCAGCAGGGAGGGGGTTTCTGCCTATTCTGTTCAGCGCCGTGTGCTCGGCTTAGCCCAGCCCTGTGCCTGGGACGTAACAGCTGCTCGGCCAATACCTACGGCCTGCGCCCAGGCTGACTGAGCCGAGTGCTAGGAAATCAGGCCAGTGGAGAGGCACAGGCAGGCCAGGAGGCGGCCAAGCCAGGGTCCAGGGGTCAGGCCCACGCCGGCTGGCTCCAGCACTGACCGGGATCCACTGCCCTGTGCCGCAGCAGAGCCACTGCCCGCGGGGAAGGCTCAGCACGTCCTGGCCTGGAATCTTCCAGAACTGTCCCCTCTCAAAGTAATGACTCAGCACTGAGAGGCCAGGCACCAGCCGGGAACTCAACAGCAGCTCAGACAGCCTGGAGCCTGACCTCTGGAGGCCGCGTCCTGGCAGGGGACAGAGGTATGGACAGAAGGACAGAGCACGGTGGGTGCTTTCAAAGAACCAGCCACTGTGAGCAGGGGGAAGTGAGGGGAGCGAGGAGGTGGTCAGGGAAGCCCTCCTGGAGGAGGTAGCCTCCAAGCTGTGACCTGGATGAGGAGGAGCCATGTGAAGATGTGTGGGAAGTGTGTCCTGTGCAGCGGGAACAGAGAACGCGAAAGCCCTGAGGTGGCCTGCAGGAACCGAGGGGAGGCTGCCGGGGCTGGGGGAAAGGGGAGGGGGAGGGGGAGAGGCCTGGGGCAGGGGCAGTGGCCAGGCAGGTCCTCAGGGATGAGTGAGGAGCTGGCTGCACTCTGTGGGCAGCCCCCAGGGACGGGGCCTGCAGGGGTGCAGGTGGGGGCTGGGAGGCCAGGCAGGGGGCTCCAGCTAGTGTCGCAGGGAGGCCCGGCAGTGCTGGGACCACTGGGGATGGCTCAGGGCACGAATCCTGGCCCCGAGCCCGTGCTCCTAAGAAGGTGACTTCTCCCCGGCGACTTTATGGGTAAGGGCTCATTTTAGGAAGCAGGGGCCCACTCAGCCCAGGTGCCCCTCAAATGACAGCTCTGCCCTCCTCCCCCAGGCACCCCGAGCCCTGTGCAGAAGGTGTGGAGCCACACACTGAACAGACATCCCAGGCTACCCAGGCCCTGCCTGGCCTCTCTGTGGCTGTGTCTCGGAGCCCCTCCCCTCCCCTTCCAGAATCTAAGTGCAGGCCTGAGCTATCTGTGCATGAGCTTGGGCAACGGGCTCAATTTCTCCATCTGTGAAATGGGCCTTAGAATGTCAACTTCACAGGGCTGCCGTGCACACGAAAGGAACGTGCTACAGGAGAGTATTGACAAAGGCCCCCAGCACACAAGCAGCACTGGACAGAATCTGCGTGGTTTTTACCACGACCACTGCTTCTTCATTCATTCCAGCACTTAATGAGCACCTGCTGTGTGCTGGTGGCTGGGTTGTGGAGTGAAGACCTGGGGGAAGAGGCATCCTCACGGGGACAGGGGGCGACGCGTAGGGGAAGGCAGGCTTCCTGTAGGAGGCTGCCTTTGGGACAATGGGTAGGCACCAGGCAGGTGAGCAGCAGGGTGTTGCTGGGAAAGCAAGCGGCCAGGCAGGAAGGGACCCAGCCCGAGAGGGGCGGTGTGGGTGGCCTTTGCTGGATCTAAGAGGGGAGACGGTGTCCCTGTTCAGCCGTGACGGTGTCCGGGAGATGCCAGAGGGCCCGGTGTGCAGCCGGGGCACTGCCCCCATAGGCTTGGGCTGCAGCCAGAGGAAGACGCACGTCCAGGCTGGGCGGACACCGTCTCAGCCCCAGGGGGGAAGCTGCGGAGGCCCCGGCACTTCCTGGCCTCGGCGCTGGGAGAGTCACTTCCCCTGTCTCAGCCACGGTTTCTCAGCTGTGGGCAGGGCTGCACTGCCGGCTCGGAGAAGCGTCTGACAAGGTAAAAGTGCGAGTCTCCCTGGGGGCCATAGACACCCAGGCCTGATTCATTCTGCTTACAAGATCTGGGGTTCAGGGCCGGTGCTATGGCGTAGCAGGTAAAGTTGCCGGCTGAAGCCCCAGCACCCCATATGGGCACCGGTTTGAGTCCTGGCTGCTCCACTTGTGATCCAGCTCTCTGCTATGGCCTGGGAAAGCAGTAGAGGATGGCCCAAGTCCTTGAGCCCCTGCACCTGCGTGGGAGACCTGGAAGAAGCTCCTGGCTCCTGGCTTCGGATCTACCTAGCTCCAGCCACTGTGGCCATCTGGGGAGTGAACCAGCAGATGAAAGATCTCTCTCTCTCTCTCTCTACCTCTCTATGTAACTCTGCCTTTCAAATACAAAAATGTTTGGAAAAAGCAAAAAGGCTGAGGGCTGACTGGTGTCCCGGATTCAAGGGCTAAGTGACCCCAGGGCTCCTACAGGCAGGGAGGCAGCCGCCCCGGGAGTGGGGCCGCTCCGTGATCCGCTTCTCGAGGGCTCCGTGGAAGTCTCCCCGGCGGCAGCCCCGCGACTCCCAGTCCTGCCAGCGGAGACCTCAGCTGTCAATCTCAAGTGCTGCCCTGGACGCACCAGCATTCTGAGCTGAGCGAAGGCGTTGCATGCGCCCTGTCTGCACGAGCCGAGCGCGCACTCCCGGCACACCATGGCCCACGCACGGCCTGGGCTCAGAGACAGGAAGCCACCTGCCCAAGGCTGCAGACGCCGAGTGGCCGGCCAGGAGGAAGCAGCCCAAGGCGGGCAGGGCAGGGCGGCTGAGGACAGGGTTGACTTTGCAGACGGAAAGGAGCTGGGAATTCATTCACAAGGCATAAGGGGGGGCGGCTTCCTGGCACCCCGGGTCAGAGGGCACATGCCAGGCCCAGCCCAGAGATCTGAGCATGACGTGCACCCCACACCTTGCTGGGCCCTAGCACCAGAGGTACCCCGACCTCCGGGCAGTGATGATGGTGGTGAGGAAAACACCTTGAACTTGGAGCCCTAGGTTCCAATCCTGCCTCTTACGCAAGGCGCTGAGCCAGTTCGGCCGAAATGCTAGCATGGGCACAAGTGGGCTGCAAGAGGACCTGGTTCCAGCTGGGGCCTCAGTCTGCACAGTGACGGTGGACGAGTGCCCTGGCTGCTCCGGGTCTCGGCCTCCTGTATCCTAACACCAGGGGCACTGTTGGTTCCCACGGCACAAGGGGAGTGCAGGCCTGCTTTGTCCACACCAGGGGGCCCCAGCCTGTTCTGCTCATGCGTCTCTCCCCTGCAGGCTGCACAAAAAGAAAGCTGGCCAGGGGCGCTTGGCTCGGGTCCAGGCAGCCGGGACCCCACGGGGGTCTGCTGGGTGTACTTACCTCCCCTGGGGACTGGCATCTCTGGGCTCCAGCCTGCGCACCTGCTCACCACGGCCGTGTGCCAACAGAGCCCTGCAGAGGCGAGAGAGATGTTGCATCAGGGGTGGAAGCAGCAGAGAGGGGCCGGCCCCCGCCCCCAGAGAGGCAGAGGGGGTGCTGGGGTGCCTGGGGCACCTGAGAGCAACACCTGGGGGTAGAGGATGCAGCTGGGGTTCAAACTCACTTGCTCCTACAGAGAATGAACCGGCTCCCTTCACAGACAGCGAGGAGGGGACTGAGTTTGAGTGAAAGCTCAGCTGCCTTAGGGAGCCCTTGAGTCTCCGGTCAGCGAGACCTGCTCTTGGCCTCAGGACCTTGGCCTTCAGGAAAACTAACCACAGCAATAAGCAACAAAAAGCGTCACTCCACTCCTGTCCCCACCTGCGAGTGCTGGGCACAATCAGGCTGTGCACTGCACAACTCCAAAGGGTACCATGTACCCAGACTATAATGAATATGGGTGCTTTCTGGGGCTGGCCAGCATCCTGCCACCACCCCCTAACACTAACCAAATGCCCGGTAGGAGAATACCTTGTGTCGTTTAAACCCCAGGAACAGGAAAACTCGGTGTTCTGGATTTTATAGCTGGGAACACACGCAACGGGAAGAGGAGGAACCGACCCGAGGAAGTGACAGAACCAGTTTCGCCATCCAGACCCGCGGCCCCACTGCCCGGCTCTTAACCGCTGTGCTACAGGAATGAGGCCACGTCCGCGATGGGCCTGGCTGGCGGCCCGGGCCCCGCTAACGTGGAACCAAGGAAATCCTTGCAGCTCGGAGCGGGGAGCGGGGTGCACGCATCTCAAGGCTGCGTCCTGTTTACAGAGTGGTCTGACACTCACCTCCCCCCGTTACAGATGGGACAACTGAGGCCCACGAGGGGCCGTCACTCCCAGACTCGCAGGCTGAGTCTGCGCTCGGCTCCACCCACTGCTCTCAGTTTCAGGAGGTGAGGGCCGTGCACAGGGCAGCTCTGCCCTGGGACAACTTCTGATTCCAGGAGGGGTCTTCAAAAAGTTCCTGGGGAAATGGGTTTAAAAGGTGACCTGCTGGAGCCGGTGCTGTGGCGCAGTGGGTTAAGCAGCTGCCTGCAGTGCCGGCAGCCCATCCAGGCACGGGTTCGAGCCCAGCTCCTCCGCTTCCAATCCAGCTCCCTGCTAATGCATGTGGGAAAGCAGCAGAAGATGACCCAAGTCCTTGGGCCCCTGCACCCACGTGGGAGACCTGGAAGAAGCTCCTGGCTCCTGGCTCTGGCCTTGCCCAGACCTGGCCGTTGCAGCCAACTGTGGAGTGAACCAGCAGATGATGGAAGACCTCTCTCTGAATCTTCTGTCTGTAACTCTGTTTCAAAAAACAAATTGAAAAAAAAAAAAAAAAGAAAGGAGTCTATTTTTTTGGTGCAAAACAATTTGAAATTCATGTGGTTTTTTCATAATATGTATTTTTTGTGAACTTCTGGAACACTCCCTCCTATGCATATATTTCAACATTTTTTGCACCAAAATAAACTTATCCTTGAATTCCATTTCCCATGACCTTTTTGAAGTCTCTTCACATGGAGGAGTGCTCCTCGGAGCCTCAGTTTTCCTGATCTGTAAAATGGGCTATGGCGAGGTCTCGGGACTCTTGGCTGTCACTGCTACGTGTGCCACGAGGGACATGAGCCTGGCTGCAAGCTGCTGTCTGTCTCTGTCCTCCCTTCCTTCCTACGGGCGCCAGTTTCACCTACTCCCCAAACGCCAGCCTGGGTAGTACCTCTAGACCCTGATGGGGGGGGCGGTCCTCAGGTGTTACCGTAGCAACCAGCACCCGCATCCCCCACTCCACCCCAAAACCACAGAGCACTCAGGCGGAGCGCTGCTGGGGCGTGGGCAGCTGCCGAGTCCAAGCCTCCCCCTCGGAACAAAGAAAACCCATTAGCGTGGGGGCCCTTGATGCTATCCGGGGGACAGTATGGCTTGGGCCCAGCTGCCCTGGGGGCGGCCCTTGAGATGCCAGCGGGCCTGAGAGGCCAGCAGCTGCACAGCTCCCACGGCCCCGGGGCCTGGCCCCTCCCTCCCCCACCTGCCCCGGAGAACACAGACCCCTTCTGGGCAAGGGTCCTCCTCAGTCTCTCACTGCCACGTGCCATGCACAGCTCCTTAGGTCCACATTAAGCACAATTAAATGAAAAGCAAAGAGCAGCTTCCCGTCCCCAGTGGCCACACTGCACATGCCCGGTAGCCAAGGGTGGCCTGCGGCTACCCTCCCGGTACCCTGCGTACAGACACAGATCCAGAGAGGGGTGGGCGAACCACAGCCGGCCCCTGGGCCACATCCAAGCCCTGACCACGGCCCCTGAGCTGGGAACGGTTTGTCCGGTCAGCCTTGCAGCCTCCCCCGGCCTTGGAGAGAGAAGCATTGGAAAAACACGTGTGCCTTGTCCTTCCTGCCAGGACTCCCAAGACCCCACAGTCCAACAACGACCATCGGAGGGACTTCGCACGAGGGGTGACATGCGCTCTGGAGCTACCGGAAGGCTGCGTGTGGACGCCATCAGTGCAGACCCCACGCCACGTGCCCCAGGGAGAAGCTGGCAGCCACAGATTTGGGGACCCTGGGATCTGTCCTCAGTAGACACCAAGGGAAGACTGGACATTTTGCAGGGGGAAGTGGGGAAGGGAGGAGGAGGAGGAGGAGGAGGAGGAGGAGGATGTACTGCGGCAGCCACACCTGCGCCACAGCATCTGAGACCTGCACACTCACTGCAGGTTGCCACCCACTGCTCTAGAGTTCTACAACTGAGCACGGACTTCCGGCACAAACGAGAGGCTGAGTGCGGGTTAACAGTCCTCTTTCTCTTACAAGGAATAGCAGCTAGCATTTATTAAGCACCACTGTTTCCTTCACATCAAACCAAGGACTTCCCAGGCCTCGCCTGGTTTCGCTCTCACACCAACCCCCAGGAGCAGCAGCAGGTGCCACGGTGTCCACTTCACGGATGAGAAAGGGCCACGCAGGAGCAGGGTGAGTGCAACTGTAGCACCCAGCAACGCGGCCACCACATCAGCCGGACCCAGGGGCAGACAGAGACCACAGCCAAGGGGCCCACACTGTGGCACAGCGGGTTAAGTCACAGTTTGTGATGCCGGCATCCCATATGGGCACCGGTTCAAGTCTCAGCTGCTCCACTTCCAATCCAGCTCCCTGCTAATGCACCCACAAGGCTCTGGCCCAACCCTGGCTGTTGGAGGCACCGGGAGAGTGAACCGGCGATGGAAGCTTGCTCTCTCTCTCTCTCTCTCTCTCCCCTCTTCCGACAGACTGGGCTGCCCTTCTCTATGACAAACTAATTTAGAGTGACTTGTAGTTGTTGAGCTGCATGCCAGGTATCGTATGTGCCCAGACTGCTTCGGTCCAAACCCACACGGCACCTGCACCTGCACCAGCTCTGTGAGCTCGGGGAGTGACAGAGTCTCTCCAAGCCTCAATCTTCTCACCTGTAAAATGGGGATAATGACAATCCCCACTAGGAGGCTCCCACGTGGCGACTGGGCACTGGAACCGGGGCTGGGAGAGCCAAGCAGCACCTCGCAGGAGCCGGGGGAGGAGGTGGGTCGGTCGTGTCAGTGGATGGCCAGCGGCAAGCATCACCACCACCTTAGGTACCGGCCCTCGTTTTCAGCAGGACCGGGCGAGGTGGGCATTCTCAGCCCTCTTTGGTAAGTTAGAGATGACGTCATTGGTAGAAGCCAGTTGGCAAATGTGGCTCTGTCCCAAGACGCCTTTCTTGGCACAGCGTCACATGACCCAGAAAATGGGTCACCAGGAGAGGGGGCTGGGCTCCCTCTTCCCTCACCCATGAGCTACCTGAAGGCTGCTGGGAGGGGAGAGGAGGGGAGAGGAGGGGAGGGGGAGGAGGGGAGGAGGGGAGGAGGGGAGGGGAGGGGAGGGGAGGGGAGGGGAGAGAGGAGGCAAAGGGAGAGGAGCTCCCCTAGATCCAGAGTCATTCATCCCACAAAGGTTTCCTGAGCACCTACTATGTGCTGGGCACTGCTTAAGCTGCTGGGTTCCATCGTGGAGCTGACACCTCGGCAGGGGACAAGGACACCAGCGCGTGCCAGGACTCCGGGGATAAATGCTCACAGAGGCAGGTGCAGGCCTTCCATGGGGGTCAGAGCAGGAGGTGACAATGACACTGAAGCCACGCTGGTTCAGGCTCAAACTCATCCGCACTGTAAAATCCTCATTTCTCTGCGCTTAGCAGATCAGGAGGTTCCCCGGGAAAAAAGTGGACGGGGGAGGGGGTTGGGTGGTGGAGCACACAAAGCCGGCTAAGGAAGCAGGTCGCGGCACCACGTGGCGGCCTTGGAGGGAGGCCCAGCACTCCCGCTCCGTGGGAACCACCTCCCAAACATTCCATTGCCATGGCCGCCACTACCCGCCCGCCATGCCCTGCGTGCCCCGTGCAGAGCTAGGGAGCCCACAGCCCTCTCTCATGCAGGTCCCCTGGGAAGCAAATAGCACCCTTTGAGCCACATCAGGGAAAGCCAGCCAGACTCCCAGGGCACGAGACGGAGGGAGAGTGAGCCCAGGACTCTGAGCACAACAGCACCCGAACTGGGTCAGGGGCGGCTCCCTGCCCTGCTTCATAGATCTTTCCCTACATCAGATCAGGGTCCCCACATGCGGTCCCAGCCCTCCCCCACTCCCCGCCGAGGCTCAGTTCAGCTGGGGGTGAGGAGCGATGAGGCCAGCAGTCACGTCCTGCCCCCCCTCCCAATCCAAGGTCGGACATCCTGGGTCCATCTGGGGTAGCTCTCCAAAGCCTCAGTGTTCGTCTCTGAGAAATGGGAATGACACCTGGAGCAAAAGGCATCAAGAGGAATTTTGGGACTTTCATTAAGACAGTGTGCTGGGGCTGGCGCTGTGGCGTAGTGGAAGAAGCCCCTGCCTGCAGCGCCGGCATCCCATATGGACGCTGGTTGGTGTCTCAGGTGCTCCACTTCCGATCCACCTCTCTGCTGTGGCCTGGGAAAGCAATAGAAGATGGCCTAAGTCCTTGGGCCCCTGCACCCATGTGGGAGACCCGGAAGAAGCTCCTGGCTTTGGATTGGCTCAGCTCTGTGGCCATTTTGGAAGTGAACCAGCAGCTGGAAGACCTTTTTCTGTCTCTCCCTCTTGCTGTCTGTAACTCTATCTCTCAAATAAAAAAACAAAAATATTAAAAAAAAAGACAATATGCAAAAAAAAAAATGAACGTGCTTAATCCTCTTATTGTGGTCATCGACGCACGTGGAGGATGAGTGGGAGGAACAGAAGATAAGGGACACGTGGCCGGGCAGTATGGGGCCTGCGGTGACTTCTTTTCCTGTACCCGTGCCCCAAACTCTCTAGAGCCTGTTCTACCGTCTTTATCGGGGATGGCAAAAGCTTCCGTCTCTGGTTCCGTGGGCCAGTGGTCTTTGCTGCGAGCACTCAACATGCCTGTGGTAGGGCAGAAGTGGCCACAGACAACACAGACGTGCACAGACATGGCTGGGTGCCAGGAAGACTATTTGCAAAGACAGGCAGGGTGAGTGAGATGTGTCCTGGGGGTCACTGCCCGCCCACCTCCTGCCCTGCAGTATGGGATGATGCTAAGCGGATCCCAGGCTCCTAGGGCAACCTGAGCAAACCTGCAAAACGCAAACGTGGGGATTTTAGTTCTGAGGCTCAGCTCAAGAGAGCCAAAGGGGAGAAGATCCAGGGGGTCAGCTTCAGTGAATATGAGAAAAATGGGGCATGCCAGAAAGCAAAGCGGCGTGGGCACGGCGGTTCTATGCAGCTTTTAGGAGGCTGGGTGCTAGCATTAGCTCCATTTTACAGAACGGGAACACTGAGGCTTGGAGAAGTGAAGTGCTTCGAAGTCAGTGGCCACCCAGTTCGGAAGTGCCTGGGCCCGAGCTGGACTCCAAGTCCATCTGATGCCAGAGCTCCGGTCACAGATGGGGAAGCTGTCTGCGCCCAGTCCGGCTGCTGCTCTGGGCAGGGACTCCCTGCTGTGCCCCAGCCCCTGCCGCAGCCCCTGCTCTGGGCTTCCTGTGCAGCAACGCACGGGGGACTCCGCCCGGTGAAGGTCACAAACAGGAAACAGCCAGGTGACCTTGCAGGGCCGGGGCTTCCTGCACCTCGCACGCGCACACACACACACACACAGGCTCCTGTCTCGAAGCTGTCTGAGGCCAGAGAGCAAGCCCAAGAGTGCTACCCGCCGGCCTGGAGCACGGAGTCTGCGGATGGCTGGCCAGGCAGCCCCGGCGCCGGGTAACGTGCATGCTCCTCCTATGCAGGCCGTACATCAGCTCTGGCACCCGGTGGGTGACTGACCAAATGCTCACGCAGAGATGAGACTGAGTGAGGAACTGAAACATGCTATAAAAAGACGCATAGCTGTTGCGGGTGGCCCAGGTGCTGCCACCACTACCGTGACCTGGTGCCTGCGTCCACACCGGGGCGGGGGGTGGGGGGCGTCAGAGGAGGTGCCCATCCAAATTCCTAGGCCCCTGAAGGTGGCCCGGGGCCTCTGATCAATAAACCCCTGCCGGCCCCTGCTGACACCCAGGCGACGGCTCTCAGGGGCAGGGGGCTGGAAACATCTCCCTCTGCCCACAGCAAGCACAAGCCAGGGGAGGAACGTGCAGAAAAGCCCAGTGGCGTATTTGGGAGCAAGGTGTGGACACCCGAGGACCAGGGCCTTCCTAAGCACGGTAACCTGCACCCCTGCTTCCCTGCTACCTTGCTTTGGCTTCGGTGTGATATAGCTTTTTTTTTTTTTAATGTACTTATTTGAAATGCAGAGTTAGAGAGAGAGAGAGAGAGAAACAGAGATCTTCCATCTGCTGGTTCTCTCCCCAGATGGCCCAAACAGCTGGGGCTGGGCCAGGTCAAAGCCAAGAGCCAGGTGCTTCAACTGGGTCTCCCACGCGGGTGCAGGGGCCCAAGCACTTCAACCCCATCTTCTACTGCTTCCCCAGGCAGAGAGCTGGATCGGAAATGGAGCAGTCAGGATTTGAACCAGCGTCCACATAGAATGCCAGTGTCACAGGCAGTGGCTTCACCAGCCGCAGCACCAGCCACATAATCTCTCTCTTCCCTGCCAGTTTTCTCATAAATGAACCACCCCAGGAACGCCACAGACAGCAAGGAGCTAGGTGCCACCACGGATGACCAAAGTCAGCCAGTGAGGATTCGAAACTTGTGCGCATGCCTAGTTGCCGCGGACTGACCTCGGGACCGCTGGAAGGCTGTGGCAAACACACTGTGTTTGTGGTTTTTGGCTCAAAGTCCCCTTTCTGGGACCCAGAGACAATCGGCGACTCCCCTCTCTGCAGCGTCTGTCTTATGCTGGAGAGAAAGCACTGGACAAAACTGCTGACGTGTTTTGGTTTTTTTCCTGCACTGTGTCTGTAAATATCCATCCTGCTGGGTTCGGAGTCTGCCTTCTGGACGTGAAGTCTGAGGCCGTTCTCGGGGCGTGGGAACTGTTGATCCCACGGAGCAGCTCGGGATGGTGCATGACTCTGGGGGTCTGTGAATGTGTCCGTGGAAAATGAAAATGCTTTTCAGGGCAGTGGGGTGACTGGAATTTACTAACCGTGTACATCTGTTCCGTAACAACATCACGTACTCTAAAATAAGTAAATGAAAGGGGGAGTTAAAAAACCATTACAGGTGGGCCGGCGCCGCGGCTCACTAGGCTAATCCTCCGCCTTGCAGCACCGGCACACTGGGTTCTAGTCCTGGTCGGGGCACCGGATTCTGTCCCGGTTGCCCCTCTTCCAGGCCAGCTCTCTGCTGTGGCCAGGGAGTGCAGTGGAGGATGGCCCAGGTGCTTGGGCCCTGCACCCCATGGGAGACCAGGAGAAGCACCTGGCTCCTGCCATTGGATCAGCGCGGTGCGCCGGCCGCGGCGGCCATTGGAGGGTGAACCAACGGCAGAGGAAGACCTTTCTCTCTGTCTCTCTCTCTCACTGTCCACTCTGCCTGTCAAACAAACAAACAAACAAACAAAAAAACCAAACCATTACAGGGGCCGGTGCTGTGGCGTAGCGGGTAAAGCCGCCGCCTACAATACCAGCATCCCATACGGACACCGGTTCGAGTCCCAGCTGCTCCACTTCCAATCCAGCTCCCCGCTAATACTCCCGGGAAAGCAACAGAGGATGGTTCAAGTGCTTGGGGCCCTGCACCCACGTGGGAGACTTGGGGGAAGCTCCTGGCTTCAATCTGGCCCAAGCCCAGTCGATGCAGCTATTAGGGAAGCGAACCATGGATGAAAAGAATTCTCTCTCTCTCTACTCTGCCTTTCAAATAAAGAAAGAAAATATTAAAATAATTAAAAAAACTATTACAGAAGCAGCACGCCTTCTGTCCATGCTGGCCTCCCACACTGGCACGTACGTGATCTTGAATTTTTAGCTCAGGTCAGGACCGTGGTGTGCGCTGGGGGCAGGAGTGACCTTGGCCATAGACATGGGCACAGGGCCCCAGGGGAAAGCAGAAAGAGGTTCTTCTTCTCAGCTGAGCGGCAGTGGATGAGGGAGGCACAGGCAGGTGCACAGAGCCCAGGTGAGCCGTCAGCTGACATGGGCATGAACCTGCCTCTCTCCCAGACCCTCCGCAGCGTCAAGTCCACCTCGAGCCTCAGGCCTCAGTTTCCCTATCTGTGAAATGGGCTCAATGGCTGCTTCTTTTCACTGATGTTCACCATATGTGTTTGTGGGGTACAGAGTGACAGCTCCATCCGTGTGTGATGCAGAGTAATCAGGTCAGGGTTACTTTGCCTGTGCATCTCACCATCTATCACTTTTCTGTGCTGGGAATATAAAGTCCTCTTTAGGGCCAGCGTGTAACCCAGTGGTTGGGAAGCGGTGAAGGCACCCGCGTCCCCCGTCAGAGCACCTGGGTTCAAGTCCTCCTCCTGGCTCCTGATGCCCAAAGGCGTTCACGGCCGACGACTCAGTGATTACAGAAGGTGTCAGTCCCCGTGACTGGTCCGGGTGGCACCCACGTGGGACTGAGTGACACCTGCTGGTGCCCGGAGGAGCACCCGGCACTGGCCATGCCTCCCAGGGACTCAGGCGGTGCAGGTGACCTCCCGGAGCTCTGGATCCCTTCTCCAGGCTATGAGCTCCTACATGCTAAATACCTTTACGGATGGGACAGCACCATATCCGGCAACCCCCAGAAGCACCCTGGAGGCTCGGGGATGGCGGTCTGGATCTCACAGACACACACGCACACGCGCACACACACACACCACACACACGCACGTGGCTCATTGAGTTCCTGCAGGCAGGTGCGTCACTGGCCCTGGAGAGCTGTTCCAAGCATTCTGACTTCTAATCGGTCTTCCTCCCTTCCCCGGCCAGCACCCTGCCTGCCCACTAGCCCCCAGGACGCACGGCAGTAAGAGAGCACAGGGGAACAAGCGCAGGTCACAGGGGCCCAGCGCTGAAGGGCCCGGGGGCCACCAGCGGCTCTGCCGAGGACCCGGGGCAGTTTAACTTCAGCAGCCTCAACCTGCTCGTCTGTACAATGGAACTGCATCGCCTGCCTCGGAGGGCGGCTGTGAGGGGTGATGGGCGAGTGCTGGGGGCGGGACTTGGCAGCAGGAGCTGTTCCGTAAACGCCAGCCATTAATTTCTCATCATCTCTTAATTAGGGAATAAACAGTCCACACCGCATAGCGTGGGCGTAGACAGGCCCAGGCAAAAGCACTCATTATCTGGGGTCAGAGGTCAGGGGATGAACAGGTTATCTGCTCCATTCTGGTAAAGATGTTGGGAGGAAAAAAGAAATCTCTCAAGAAACACCCTAGGATACAAGCCAGGGCTTCCGGGCAGCACTGGGCCTCGAGGCCGCCTGGCTCCACTCCCACATCCAGCTTCCTGCCAGTGCACACCCTAGCAGGCAGCAGGCCAGGGCTCAGGTCCTCCCGGCCCTGTCATCCACCTGGGAGCCCTGGCTAATGTCCTGGCTCTCAGCTGCAGCCTGGCCCAGCCCCAGGCCTCGCAGGCATCTGGGAAGCAAGCTCTCGCTCTGTCTCTCCCAAATAAAACAAATGCATTCATTACTGGATAAAATGTAACCTGCGGCTTCATACAAGGGTACTGCAAAAGGTTCACACAAAGTGGAATGAAAAGATAAGTTTGTTCTGTCGAACACATTTTTGAATTCTATGTACGATTCTCCCCCCCCCCATATGCATTTTCCATGAACTTGCTGAACTTCCTTAACCCCCACCCCCCCATTTTCTGAATTTGCCAACGATTCAGTAGTAGCTATACCAACCATGTGGTACAGAGAAAGAGAATGGAAAAACGAGACTGGGGTGACGTCTTGGTTTGTTACGTCACTCGCGACCTTGGGCCCCAGAACAGAGTGAGGTGCGGCCTTGTGGAAAGCTCTGGGAGGGTCCAGGCAACGTCAGAGCAAGCCCCGCCCTGAAGACCCCCAGCCCAGCTGCCGCCTATGCTCCCAGGGTCACTTCTGCTGGCACCACACTGGTGCACTCTCCAGACAAGACCAAGCAGGATGACTCCTGGTTAAAGACGGTTCTAGTCCCGGCTGCTCCACTTCCGATCCAGCTCTCTGCTGTGGCCTGGGAAAGCAGTAGAAGATGGCCCAAGTGCTTGGGCCCCTGCACCCACATGGGAGACCCGGAAGAAGCTCCTGGCTCCTGGCTTCGGATAGGCGCAGCTCTGGCCATTGCAGCTATCTGGGGAGTGAACCAGTGGATAGAAGACTTCCCTCTCTGTCTCTGTCTCTCTGTAACTCTGCCTTTCAAATAAATAAATAAATCTTAAAAAAAGAGAAAGAAAAAGACGCAGCTCTGGAGTCGGCGGCAGATCCCGGCTGCACCACGAGCTCTGGGACCCTGGGCGAGACACCCCACCTCCACGGCATCGCTTTCCTCATTTGCAAAATAGGAAGAAGCAGAGCCACTTGGCTCTCACAAGGATTCAATTAGATATCACGCACGAGATATTTAGCGCCAGGCCCGGCTGCCGGCAAGTGCTCCAGCTCCTCCGATCACAGCCAGCTGTCACACGGAGAGTCTTTTGTAGGACATGCGGTGCTAACCCAGCGGGCACAGGAAGGCAAATTTAGACTGAGGTTCTAGGGAGCCACAGCAGATGTCTGAGCAGAAGAGAAGCTGCACGGGGCTGGCCGTCAGTGCCCACCTACAGAGACCAGACCTGCCAAGGTCCCCCCGTCCCAGGCTCCCTGTCCCTGGCGGTCTTCCCGGTGCTGTCAGGCAAAGCCACAGCACAACTCCCACACGGTCTGTCCCCTGCCACTTCCGGCCCTGCCTGCTTCCTGGTGGGTGTCAGCCAAGCTGGGGGTGGGGAGGAGGCTGGAACAGCTCACCCGGCCTCAGGGCACAGGTCTGATGGCCAGGAGGCCCAGGAGCCTGGCCGGGGCTGAGGTGGCAGAGGAGAAATGGCCTGGTCCGAGGTTCGGTCCTATTTGCTGTGCGGCTCTGGGCAAGTGCCTCTTGGTCTCTGAGCTCCAGCCTGAACACACACAGTTTTGGCTGCTTCCGCCTAGGGGGAGCTGGGAGGACGTAGCAGCACCATAATGGGCTCTGGCTACATTCCCACTGCGAGCCAGGTGCCGACATGCACTCCCTGAGTGCACGCTTGCATCAAATTCACACAGCTTGGGGCCAGCCCGGGGTTTCACTCCCATTTGAAAAATCCACTGAACTGTTCCACTCACAGCTATGATCAATCTCCACATTAAACGGAACAAGCCAGGGGCGAGTGTCTGGTATAGTGGTTAAGCTGCCCAGGGCACCTGCATTCCAATCCTGGCTCTGCTTCCGGTCCAGCGTCCTGCTCACGCACGCCCTGGGAGGCAGCAGTGACGGCTCAAGTACTTGGGTCCCTGCCACCCACGTGGGAGACCTGCATGGAGCCCACAGCTCCTGGATTTGACCTGGCCCAGCCCAAGCTGTTGCAGGCATTCGGGGAGTAAAGCAAACTCCTCTCTCTCTCTCTCTCTCTGTCTCGCTGCCCCCCCCCCCTTAAAGATTTATTTTGTTTATTTAAAAGATAAAATGACAGAGGCCAAAGCCAGGAGCCTGGAACTCTGTCCAGGTCTCCCACGCAGGTGCAGGGGCCCAAGCACTTGGGGCCACCCTCTGCTGCTTTCCCAGGTACATTAGCAGGGAGCTGGATCTGAAGCGGAGCAGCCGGGACTCGAACCGGCGTTCTGAAATGGGACGCTGAATTTACAGGGTGGCAGCTTAACCAGCTGTGCCACAAGGTGGGGCCCACCGCCTTTCAAAGAAAGAATAAAAATAAAAATAAATCAGTCAATAAAAAGGACATGAGAAATGCTTTAAGTCTCTAGAGCAAAACCTCCAACCTGTCCTCTGGTCCCTTTTCTTTTTCTTTTTCTTTTTTTTTTTTTTTTTTTATTTGACAGGTAGAATTATAGACAGTGAGAGAGAGAGAAACAGAGAGAAAGGTCTTCCTTCTGTTGGTTCACCTCCTAAATGGTTGCTATGGCCAGCGCTGCACTGATCCGAAGCCAGGAGACAGGTGCTTCCTCCTGGTCTCCCATGCGGGTGCAGGGCCCAAGCACCTGGGCCATCCTCCACTGTCCTCCTGGGCCACAGCAGAGAGCTGGCCTAGAAGAGGAGCGACCGGGACAGAATCCGGCGCCCGTATGGGATGCCGGCACTGCAGGCAAAGGATTAACCAAGTGAGCCACGGCACTGGCCCCTTGTCTCTTTTCTAAGAGGTGGCCCCAGCTGGGCAGTTCGGACAGGAGCCAGGTGCACCTGTGTTCTCCAGGAGGTCACAACCAAGTGTCTGTCGAACGGGAAGGACGCGGGGCCTCACCCTCCTTCCACCCGCCCGCCAGCCCATCAAGCAGTCCCTCAGGGGACAACAGGCGGTATCCAGAGACAGTTGTGATGGCTGGGGGCTATCCAATGGGAGAGGCTGGGGATGCTGCTGTTATCCTACAGGGAGCGGGCCCCTCGCCCGGCAGTTAGGACGCGGGTGAAGGCACTCTGGAGCACCCAGCTTCCACTCGCAGCTCCCCCTCCCGGGAGGCAGCAGGTGATGGCTCCCATGATTGCTTCCCGCCCCCAACGTGGGAGACCCGCACCACGTTTCTGGCTCCCAGCTTCGGCTCCAATCCCGCCCTAGCCGCCGGAGGCATCTGGGGAGCGACCCAGTGGCCGGGGGCTCCGTCTGTCCGTCTGCCTTTCTCTGCCACCCACCACCACCGATCACAGAGCCCCAGACGTCAGCAAACCCCAGCTAAGAGGCCCTGGATTATTCCCCCACTTTTGAACCTCACCTGCTCCCCTCACCTTAAAGTCCTCCCTGTCACCCTACGTATCCCTCCTGCCAGGTGCCTGAGCACCTACCATGTGCCAGGCCCTGTTCTAGGACGGTGGCCACTTCAGTAAACGCAGGCGAAGCCCCAGCACCCAGACAAGCCCCTCACCAGGCTGGACCCCCGTGGCTCTCTCCCTCTTTTAATCGCTCCCCAGCAGCCCCGGCAGCTACAGGGCACCTCCCCCCAGCTGAGGCCTCCCCGACAGACGCCTAAGCTGCCAGCCACACGCCCTTCCTATCTCAGCAGCACCCCCCGCCCCAGACCCATCCCCCAGCACTGGGCCAGCGCCCCTTTGGCACCCACTCTGCACTGGTGCACCTCGCCATCTGTGCTACACTGGCGATTCCTCCCATTTTCCAGATGCGGTGAGTGAGGCTGAACGAGGCATCCAGGCAACCAGCACCGGGGACCGACTCCCTTCTAAGGCCTCTCCCTGCTCTGACTCGTAGGATCTGGCCCCGGCCTGGGCCACCTTCCTGACCAACCGCTCTGGCTGTCAGAATCAGCTTAGAGCAGGAAGGTGGATGGATAAGCGCTCACCCAGCATGGAGGGAGGGAGGGAGACAGCTCGTGGGCACCGGCACGGCTACTCCTGGGCCTGTTCACGTCCAGCCATGCAGGACGGATGCCTGGGCTGGGCACCGGGCAAACCCACTCTGCCTGTGTGCAACAGGCACCCCCAGAGAGCTGCGCGGTGGAGGCCAAGGGCACCGGAGCCCAGCGGCAGTGGGACCCCAGCAGCAGGTGGCATGGCTTAGCCTCGGTTCCCTCTGCTGATGAATGGGCTCACAGCACACGCCGCGGAGGGCTGCAGGGAGGGCTCCCAGGCAGATCAATCAATGAGCCTTGGGCACTGCTCAGCACCCAGCCCATTTGACAGATGCAGAAACTGAGGCTCAGAGAAGTGCAAGACCCTTGACCGAACACAGAGATACAGCCCAGGGAGGTGCGGCCTTGCACCTGCAAACTCAGCATTCCTCATCCGAATTCTGCCTCTGCAAAGCTGTGTGGCCCTGGGCAAGGCGCTTCACCTGGGCCTCGGCTTTCTCGGCAGTGAAATGGGACCATAACGCAGAGACTGAAGAAGCCACCCACAAACCCAGAGTGCCATCTGCACGTTACCAGCTGGGTCTCCGCTGTGCCACCCCCAGGCCCCACTCCAGGAAGACCTGTCACCCGTGGGCATTTCTGAGGTTTCCTGAGCACCAGGCATGACAGGAGTAAGGCCGGGCAAAGCCGGCAGCCCCCAGAGACAGAAAGCTATTTGCTTAGGGTCACACAGCAGGTAAGGGGGGTGGAAAAGAGGGCTGGGCAGCAAGAGATGGGGCATCAAACCTGGGCAGGTGCAGAACACTTGACCGAACACGGAGATACAGCTCAGGGAGGTGCGGGCTTGCACCTGCAAACTCAGGAAGTGGAGCAGCCGGGGAAGGGGAGGGCCAGGCCGGGGCTGGCAGGTGAGAGGGAGCAGCGGTAGCTGAAGTCTCTCCTGCTGGCGTCTGGCCATGAGGGCTTTGAAGGAGCGGTCGGCCCTGGGCCAGTCCCGCCTCCCCGGAAGGCTCCTCCTTCCCCTGGGTCTAGCCTGGGCGTTCACCCGTGGATCGGCGACAGTGGGGACACCTGGGGCATCCAGGCTCCTCTCCGCACTGCAGCGCAGCCCTTCTATTCCAATCTCCCTACGGGTACACTTGTACACCCAGCTCAGACGTCCAACCGCGGGGCTCCTGCCTCAAGCGTCCTGTGATGGGGCCTGCACTGTGGTGCAGCGGGTTAAGCCGCTGCCTACAATGTCAACATCCTATACTGGCGCCAGTTCAAGTCCCAGCTGCTCCACTTCCGGTCCAGCTCCCTGCTTATGTGCCTGGGAAAGCAGCGGAGGATGGCCCAAGAGCTTGGATCCCTGCACCCACGTAGGAAACCCAGATGGAGTTCCAGGCTCCTGGTTTTGGCCTGTCCTGGTCCCAACTATTGCAGCCATTTGAGGGGTGAAGCCAGGACTGAAATCCAGGAGCTTGGATATGGGGTGTGGGCACTCTGACTGGCATCTCCTCTCTGAGGCCAAACACCTGCCCCCACGGCTGTGCTTGCAGCGCCCAGCCCGGAGCCTGGTATACACTAGGTACTCAATAGATGCCTGCAGAACTTCCTTGAGAAACAGGGAGGACTTTGATGAGAAAACCCCACTGGGCCAGTTTTGCCCATTTTAGTTCAGGGCTTTCTTATGCTAGCAAAGGTGCTAATCAAAGCCACAGACAATGGGTTAACGTTCTGCAGGCTGTAGGAAGGAAAACTGAGGCTCGCACAGGGGATGGGCTTGCCTTGTGCTCAAATCAAGGAGTCCAAGGCTCAGAGCTCCTGCTTGTTCCTCTTGCTGCTCAACGAAGCCACAGGCAAAAGGAGACATTTACAATACCCACTAGACAAAAGACCTGTATCTGGAATATATAAAGAGCTCTGAGAAATCAATAAGAAACGGGAAAGGCGAGTCTGAAGAGACAGTTCACCAAAGAGGTTATCTGAACAGTCAGTAAAGTGTTTGGCAGGCGCACCATCTCACTATCCAGGGAATAAATGCAAACTAAAAGCACGTGGCCAGGGAGGTGGATGCCTGGTAGAGCGGTTATGCTGCTGCATGGGGCCCTGTGCCCCGGATCAGAGTGCACGGTTCAAGTCCTGCTGCTTCTGCTTCCAATCCAGCGTCCTGCTAGTGCACACCCTGGGATGGCTCAAGTACTGGAGCCCTGTCATGCACACGGGAGACCCAGATGGAGTTCCCGGCTCCTGGCTTCCGCCTGGCCCAGCCCCAGCTGTTCACGGGCATTTGGGGAGTGAACCAATGAGTGGGAGATAACTCTCTCTCTCTCTCTCTCTCTCTCTCTCTCCCTTTTTAAATAAATCCATAATTTTTAATACTCCACTGTCGGGTCACTATGCATCTGACGAAAGTGAAGCCAACCCCAAGTGCTGGCGAGGCGGCGATGCAAGCGGACCCTGGCTGCTCTGATGCTGGGAGGCTGACCGGGCACCGGCCTCCGGAAAAGCTGACGGCAGCAACTCCGCCCCTGGGCGTTCACCACAGCACAGACGTCAGTGCAACCCCAGCGGCGCCCCCCCCCCCCCGCCACCAGGGACGCTCTGATGCGCGTCCACCGAAGGGTGGAAAAATAAATGGTTGCTGGCGCTGCGGCTCACTAGGCTAATCCTCCGCCTTGCGGCACCGGAACACCGGGTTCTAGTCCCTGTCGGGGCACCGGATTCTGTCCCAGTTGCCCCTCTTCCAGGCCAGCTCTCTGCTGTGGCCCGGGAGTGCAGTGGAGGATGGCCCAGGTGCTTGGGCCCTGCACCCCATGGGAGACCAGGAGAAGCACCTGGCTCCTGGCTTCGGATCAGTGTGGTGCGCCAGCTGCAGCAGCCATTGGAGGGTGAACCAACAGCAAAGGAAGACCTTTCTCTCTGTCTCTCTCTCTCACTGTCCACTCTGCCTGTCAAAAAAAAAAAAAAAAAAAAGAAAGAAAAAAGAAAAATAAATGAACATGACAGACGGCCGGGAGACGGAGTCAGACTGTACTGAAACAGAAGTCAATGCAGAGCGACCATGGTGCGTGGTCCCTGGGACGCCAGGGCCAGTAGAGAGGGGTGGGGCAATGAGTGACAGCAGCCACTAGGGGCCGGCCGCCCCAGGGACTGGAGGGGGCACAGGATGCCCTGGTGCAGGGAGGGCGCGGGCTGGGTTTCCTTTCTAGATTTGGGAACTGGTCCCAGGGACACATCTGTCTACAAAACCCCTCGAGCTGGCCTCACGATGCACACCCTTCCCCGTGGGTCAGTCTCGGAACTGCGCTGTGCCCGACGCTGCCACCCGCACGCCATCCCTGGCTGCCCCGGAGGGACACACCATTCATTCATCCATTCCATCCGCACTCCCTAGTGGCCCCCTCCCTGCCGGCACAGGGAACACCCAGGCCGAGTGAGCCTCGGCCTGCGACCGTGCCAGCCACGCCCCAGCTGCTGGCACCCAGGACCCCCAGACCCGCACTCAGTAAGCCAGCAGCCGGGCTGGACTGGCCTGTGCACACACGCCCAGGAGTGAGGGCCGCTTGGCTCCGCCTCGCTCGCTCTCTGCCACCCCGAGGTGTGAGTGTGTTTACAGGGTTTTTCCTTAGGCCGGGCCAAACCCAGCCATCCCAAGTCCTCCCGGTGTCCCCTCCCGGTCCTGGCAGCGCCACCCTTTCATCCTCGGGCCAGAACCCCTGCGGGCAGCTCTGCTGTTTGCCTTTCTCTCGCACCCCAATGGGACCTTTCAGACACAGCCATACCCCTGTCTTCACCACTCGCTCGGGTGGGCGTGCTCCGGGGGGCCACCCTGCTCTGTGGCCTCTCGCCTTGGGCTGTGCAACTTTCTCCGGTCTCCCTGCTCCCCTCCGCGTCTCCTGGGTCTGTTTGCAGCGAGCATCAGGAGCGATCTCGGGAAAGGGGAAGCCAGGCCCTTCCTGCCCCTTCCTGGACTCCCACTTCAGCAGGAAAGGCCAGTTCTTGCACGGCCTACCTGCCAAGGCGCCTGGGAAGGCAGCAGAAGACGGCCCAAGAACATGGGCCCCTGCCACCCGGGTGGGAGACCAGGGCGGAGTTCCAGGCTCCTGGCTTCACCCTGGCCCAGCCCCAGTTCCTTCAAGAGTACAAACAGGGGCTGGCACTGTGGCCTAGAGGGTGAAGCTGCCACCTGCAGTGCTGGCCACGGTTCGAGACGCGGCTGCTCCACCTCCCATTCAGCTCCCTGCTGACGTGCCTGGGAAAACAGTGGAAGATGGCCCGAGTGCTTGGGCCCCTGCAACCAGGTGGGAGACCTGGAAGAATCTCCTGGCTTCAACCTGGCCCAGCTCCAGCAGGTGCAGCCATTTGGGGAGTGAACCAGCAAATGGAAGACCTCTCTCTCTCTCTCTGTAACTCTACCTTTCAAATAAAACAAGTAAGTTAAAAAAAAAAAAAAAAAAAGGCAGTGTCCTGACCCACAGGAGCACCTGGATACAGCTGCACCTGAAGACAATGTGCCTTTGAAACTTCCCATGTCCCAGGGCCAGGTCACTGCTTTCCTTCCTTCCTTCGGTCACTGACTCACAGTGTTGCCACTCAAAGGCGCATAGTAGGTTCTTTGTGACCTCAGCATGCTTCCTGTTTTCACAGTCATCTCCCAGCACCAGCCTGACTTCGAAAGTCTGTCTCAGCAAAAGCAGCCAAATGTGTACCCGGAGTCTCAACGGAACACTGAGGCTGCCCGGGGCCACTCTCCCTTCCGCCCCCTAAATGCAGATGTGAGTTTCCACTTGGGAAGAAGATTCCAGAATATCTGCGCAAAAAGGTCAGAAGGTGATGAGATGCCTGGTGCTTAGGAAGTCTCCAGCTGCCTTCCCCTTGCCTCCCACCCCCACCCCCCGCCCCCGCCGCCGGCACTTCTGATCACACCGCCTTCCACGACTTCGTGGTGGCGGCTTTGCGAGTGGCTGCCGGCCAAAAGGTGGAAAAGCTTCACCAAGAACAAAGCAAGCAACTAATAAATACCAGCTGCATGCAATGTTCTGGGCTAGACGGGCTCCATCTTCTCTTGTAGTCCGTCCAAGAGGCATTAGGCTGCCGTCCCAGGGACACCGTGGGCGCATTAGCAGGGGACAGGATTTGGGTGGGGGTTTGAACGGTGTCATTTCTTGGCCCCGTTCCGAGGTGGCCAGGCTTGTGACTCTCATCTCCTGCAGGCATTAACCCACCCCTCTGTCCTGCCGGAGAAACCGGCAGAGCCTCCTCGCTTGGTCCTGGAAGCAGGAAGAGCTTCAAAGGCCTCCAGCCCTGCTCAGAATGAGAACACACACGCACACGCACACAGCACATGCACATGCACACACACGCACACATGTGCACACACGGACACACACGTACAGATGCACACACAGACACACACACGCACATGCACATGCACACACACACAGGCACACACACATGGACACATGTGCACACACGGACACACACGTACAGATGCACACATGGACACATGAACACACACACGGACATACACGCGCACACACAGGCACGGACACACACCCATGGACACATGTGCACACACGGACACACACGTACAGATGCACACACAGACACATGAACACACACACGGACACACACGCACATGCACACAGGCACGGACACACACACATGGACACATGTGCACACACAGACACACACGTACAGATGCACACATGGACACACACATGGACATACATGCGCACACACAGGCATGGACACACACATGGACACATGTGCACACACGGACACACACGTACAGATGCACACACAGACACATGAACACACACACGGACATACACGCGCACGCACAGGCACGGACACATGTGCACACATGGACACACACAGATGCACACATGGACACACACATGCGCACACAGGCATGGACACACATACAGATGCACACATGGACACACGTGCACACACATGGACACACATGCACACACAGACACATGCACGCATGCACACACACATGGAGTGACTGAGGCAGGAGAAACGGCAGGTTCAGAATAAGGGAAGAGCCTTGGGCTGGGGGCTCCGAGGGGGCCTGGGATCTTGCTGGTGGCCAGTTCCCTCTGCAGACTTGCCTGGTCATGTCCAGGAAGGCCTTGAACTTCTGAGCCTGTTCACCTGCAAAATGGGTGAACAGCAAAACCCTTGGAGGAGCTCCTGGGTGCGTCTGTGCACCAGGTACCACGACAGCCCCGAGATGGTCATTGCTATGATCCCTGTTTGAGGGGAGTTGGGGGGACTGACTACCACAGAGAGAACATGTGTGTACCCGGAGGTCTCAGGTCCTGCAGCTCAAGCCAGAGAGAGAGCTGCGGGTCTCGCTCCAGTGTGCCTGACCCAAGAGCTCCCGCATTTCCACCACCAGGGGCCCCTGCTCGACGCCTGTGCCCCAGGTCACCATGAGCTTCCAAGGCCTCTCAGACAAGCCTAGACGCAGCCCCAGGCACCTGTTGGCTCAGCAACAGTTGGAGGTTTACCAGATGACCAATGCAGGCAGCTACAAGTCCTTCCTCCTTGGTTCTTCCTGTCCCTCCCCCGTCAAGAGTGCAGGGCCCCCGCAAGCAGAGGTGGAGGAAAAGGCAGGAGGGAGCCACTGCTTCCGTGTGACACAGGCCACGCACGGGTCACATGGTGCCGTCGCCTCCGCCCACATCACACCCCGCTCCCAAGCGTTCCATCCTCCAAAGCCTCCACGATGCCCAAGGCCTTAGTGTGCCCCTCTGGGGAAGGACAGGGCTGGACCCAGGTTCCAATCTCATTTTTCTCCCCAAAGCTCTTAGCCAAGAGGCACCCCTGGCCTACTGTGCGCTCGGGCAGGGCAGCGAGCAGGCAGCCACAGAGAGAAGGCAGACACCTACTGTGTGCAGGCACTGGGGGTCCTCAGAGGAAGAGGACCCGGCACCCCCCAGCCTGCCTGCCGACCGCCCTGCTCTGGGCCCCAACGCAAACCAGACCCAAAGCGGCCCTGCCGCCTGCTGCTGCCCGCCCAGCCTTCCTTCCTCTTCCTCCCCAACAGCCCTAAGGCAGGCAGGGAGGCCCTGCAGGAATAGGGCACACACCAGCCTCGGGCACGCAGGGGCCTGCCTCCGTCCTCCCCCCACGCCCCAGGGGGCCCTGAGCAGGTTCCAGGAGGTTCTGCAGCAGAGGTCCCTGGCAGCCAGGGGAAGTGGGGCAAGCGCACCTGATGAGTCAGGGAAGGCTGTGCCACTGCCTGTGTGCACGTGAGTGTGTGCATGCGAGTGTGTGCCTGAGTGTGTGTGAGCGTGTGTGCACATGAGTGTGTGCATGTGAGTGCATGTGCATGAGTGTGTGCGCACATATGAGTGTGAGTCTGAGTGTGTGTGAGCATTTGCATGCGTGTGTGCACCTGAGTCTGTGTGTATGTGAGTGTGTACATGAGTGTGTGAGTGTGTGCACGCGTGGGTGTGCACACCTGAATGTGTGCATGTGTGTGCATATGTGTGAGAGTGTGTGCACATGTGAGTGTGCGCCTGAGTGTGGGCACGAATGTGCGTGAGCGTGTGCATGCGTGAGTATGCACACCTGAGTGTGTGTGCATGTGTGTGTGAGTGTGCACATGAGTGTGTGCCTGAGTGTGTGTGAGCATGTGCACATATAAGTGTGCACGCCTGAGTGCATATGTGTGCATCTGTGAGTGTGTGTGTGCACACGCAAGCATGCACATGAGCCTGCGAGTGTAGGGGCAGGGAGGAAGGCAGCAGGGGACCCAGAGGCAGAGAGCCAGTCAGTCAGGGAGACAGGGACAGAGAGATGAGACACAGCAGAGGAGAGCGCCAGCGGGCAGAGGCAGGGAGACCGAGACGAGCAGAGACACAAACCCAGGAGATGGCGTGGAAGGAGACAGAGACGCAAGCAGGGACCAAGACAGACGGGTTGGGATGAAGCAGCTGGAACAGGGCCTCAGCCCCACCATCCCCTCTGCGCTCACCCAGCCGCCTCCCTCAATGGCTCCCACGGCCCCAGGCAGGCAGCTGAGCACCGCTGGCCCCGCCCCTGTCCCAGGGCTCCCCAAACTCCCACCCACTGGGTGCCACCTGCTCAGCGTCAGCCCCTTGGAGCTTGGGTTGCTGGACTGCCCGTGTGTAAAACCTGTTCTCAAAGGAAACTATGCGGGGCCAGCGCTTTGGCACAGCGGGTTAACTCCCTGGCCTGCAGTGCCGGCATCTCATATGGGCGCCAGTTCAAGACCAGGCTGCTCTACTTCCAATCCAGCTCTCTGCTGTGGCCTGGGAAAGCAGTAGAGGATGGCCCAAGTCCTTGGGCCCCTGCACCTACATGGAAGACCTGGAGGAAGTTCCTGGCTCCTGGCTTCAGATTGGTGCAACTCCAGCCATTGTGGCCAATTGGGGAGTGAACCAGCGGATAGAAGACCTCTCTCTCTAACTCTGCCTCTCCTCTCTCTGTGAAACTCTGACTTCCAAGTAAATAAATAATATCTTTATATACATTATTTATATAATATATAATATATAATATGTATTATATATTATATATATTATTTATATACTTGAAAGGCAAAGTTATAGAGAAGCAGAGGCAGAGAAAGAGAGAGAGTGAGAGAGAGAGAAGGCTTCCATCCACTGGTTCACTTCCCAGATGGCCACAATGGCTGGAGCTGCGCTGATCTGGAGCCAGGAGCCAGGAGCTCCCTCCGGGTCTCCCACGCGGGTGCAGGGGCCCAAGGACCTGGGCTATCTTGTAGCACTTTCCCAGGCCACAGCAGAGAGCTGGATCAGAAGTAGAGCAGCCGGGACTCGAACCGGCACCCATATGAGATGCCGGCACTGCAGGCAGTGGCTTTACTCGCTATGCCACAGCACTGGCCCCACCACAAAGTTTTATAACATGAAGGGGTCCAAGAGACAAGTGCCAAGAGCCAAGAGCAGACAGCAGGCCCCAGGGTCTCCCAGTACCCCCATCCAGGGCACGCCAAGAGATCAACAGTAAGGAATAATACAGAAAATCAGTGAGACGCAAGAGCACGGGTCAGGGGTCCTTGTGATGTAAAACAAGGGTGACCCGAGCACGGCACCCAGACGGCGGGCGGTGCAGGCTCCCCAACGGCACAGGGTGAGGCAGTGCACGGCTTCCGGCTCCCTCACACTCCTCACTCCGTCACCGCGCACTCTGACCTTCTGGAATTTTCCATATGGTATTTGCTGACTGCAGATGCTGGGGGTAGCTGGCTGCAGCCATGGACGGGGGACTGCTGGTCTCCACTCTGCTTCTGTGACGCGAAGGCAGCTGCAGCCAGGACACAACCCAACGAGCGTGAGATCCACGAGAAGGCTCTAGAGAAATGGGGGTGGGCAGGTACGGCCCCGTGGGCCACCCTCTGTCACCTGCTCATCAGGGCCTTGCTATGCCAAACTGCTCATTGGCTGAGCAGGAACGGGGTCCCCTGGACGCTGGTTAGAAATGCAGTCTGTGGCCCTCACCCTAACCTGCTCCCTGCACCTGCTCTGCACTGAGACCCCCAGGGGCTTCGAGCACACATTCAGGCTAGGGAGGGGCACGGACCCCGATTTCTAAGTCACCCTCTCAGGTCAGAGTCGTGCCTGGCTCTTTCATCACTATTTGCCAGGCACACAGACAAGGGAGCGAGCTTCTGTCTGCTGGTTCACTCCCCAAATGCCAGCAACAGCTGGGGCCAGATCAGCCCGAAGCTAGGAGCCTGGCACTCAATCCAGGTCTCCCATGTGGATGGCAGGGACCCAAGTACTTGAGCTGTCACCTGCTGCCTCCCAGGAAGCTGGATTAAAAACAGCCAGGACTCGGATCCATGGGCTGTGATACAGGACACAGGAGCCAGAAACCACAGGCTCCTGACCCAGGGAGTGTGGAATGACGGCGAAGGCCGGGTGTGTAAAAAGCCCCAAGGGTGGGGCCAGCACTGCTGTGAAAAGGTTAAGCCACAACTTGCAATGCCAGTTCGAGTCCCAGCTGCTCCACTTCCAATCCAGCTCCCTGCTAATGCACCTGCGAAAGCAGCAGAGGATGCCCCAAGTCCTTGGGCCCCAGCACCCATGTGGGAGGCCCAGATGCAGTTCCTGGCTCCTGGCTTCAGCCTGGCTCAGCCCTGGCGGTTGCAGCCATTTGGGGAATGAACCAGCAGATTGAACAGCTCCGTCTCTCTGTTTCTGTCACTCAAATAAATAAATCTTAAAAAAAAAAAAAATCCCCAAGGCACCAGGAGGCCTCAGCCAGCCTCCAATGTCTAAGAAAAGCAGAGCTGAACAGGCTCAGCGAGAACATCACAACCAGTCATTTAAAAAAAAGAGCTGTTTTCCGAGCACTGGAACTGCTTGTTCAAGTGGCACCAGGCAGGCTCAGGGCGTCCTCTCAGCCCGGCAGACGGCGCCAGGCCAAGGGGCGTCTGAGGCCACTCGGGTCTTGCAGGTGACAATGGGGAAGGGGCACGGATCAACTGGGCCTGACTGCCTGAGTTTCTGAGTGACAAACTGGACTTTCTTTCCAAAATGTTTGAACGTTGTGGATGTTAAGAAACACACATATGGGGCCGGTACTGTGGCATAGTGGGTAAAGCTGTGACCTGCAGTGCCGCATCCCATATGGGCGCCGGTTCGAGTTCCGGCTGCTCCACTTCTGATCCAGCTCTCTGCTGTGGCCTGGGAAAGCAGAAGAAGATGGCCCAAGTCCTTGGGCCCCTGCACCTGTGTGGGAGACCTGGAAGAAGCTCCTGGCTTTGGTCTGGCCCAGCCCTGGCCATTCCGGCCATTTGGGGAATGAACCAATGGAATGGAAGACCTCTCTCTCTCTGGCTCTACCTCTCTCTGTAACTCTGTCTCCCAAATAAGTAAAATAAATCTTTTTTTTTTAAATAAATCACACACACACACACTGCACAGGAGCTAAACGAAAACCATGTTGCAGGCTGAATTCACCCATTTAACAGTTCGGGAAACTGAGGCTCAGAGACGGACCGTGCCTTGCCCCGTGCTTACAGTGAACAGGAGGGAGAGTTGAGACTTGGTTGCTGATGAGAGTGTGGGAAGTGGGAGGGTGGGAGGACTGGAGTCTGCATTTCACGAGCCAGACCCATCTCTGCTGCCCACCAGGGAGGGGTGTGGCACAGGGACTTGAGAACCTGCCCAACAACTGCCATTTGCTACCTGCTTCCTGCGTGCTGGGCAGCGGGAAAGGCATGGAGGTGTAGCCACGTGTACACAGAGAGGACAGGGCCTGGGTTCAAATCCTGCCTCTCCCACTCCCAGTCTGGGCGACCTTGTACAAGTCACTTCCCCTCTCTGTGCCCTGGCTTGTTGGTCGCTCAGGGCTGTGGGGTGAGGGAAAGGGGTTCAAGGACACGGGAAGTCTGAACAGCGGCTGGCGCCCCCTAGCGTATTCAGGATTAGTGCTTTGACAAACGGGGCCGTAGAGGCTCCCAGGCGGCCCAAAAGCTTGTGTGACAACACAAATTCCACCCAGGATAAGCACCTTACTGCCAACGCCCTCCCGTCCCACGCCCGCAACTCTGCCGGCGTGAGAGCGGAATCCCCGGGAAAAGCAGCCAGCCCGTGCACCCTCGTACGCTACCGGCCTGCTCAGTCTGCCCGCTGCACACTGGCTCGGCAGACGGGCTGGCCGCCTGCCGCCTGAGCACACAGGATGAGATGGAGCCACTTCCCCGGGGCCAAGTGGGCACTGCCCTCAGAGGGCCTCCCCTGCAATTTCTGGGACTTGGCCTGGCCAGCCCGCAGCCTCCTCTGGAGTGAATCATTCCCAAGAATCCACCCCGGGGTGGGGAAGACCTGCAGAGGGGCGGAGGAGGGGGCAGTGTGTCTGCAGACAGCAAAGCGGCACGTGGGGAGGCTACACAAAGAAGCTTCCAGCACGCCCCACGGCAAATCGCAGCCACCCGAGCCACACCCGAAGCTTTGGAGAAAGCACCTTCCAGTCACCAGTCAGTACTCCTGCCATGCAGCTGACCTGCCACCATGGCTACAAGTTCATCTACAAAGTCACACCCACCAACAAGCGCTGGCCCCAACAGCTTCGCTGACTCCGGGGTTCTGACAGGCCTATTCCCATTCTTCAGTGAGGTACACTGAGGCCCGGAGAAGGGCAGCCCCATCCCCCTAGGCTGCGTTTCTTTTTTTTAAGATTTATTTGTTTATTTGAAAGGCAGAGTCACAGACAGAGAGATCTTTTTTTTTTTTTTTTTTTTTTTTTTTTTTGACAGGCAGAGTGGACAGTGAGAGAGAGACAGAGAGAAAGGTCTTCCTTTGCCGTTGGTTCACCCTCCAATGGCCGCCGCGGCTGGCGCACCGCGCTGATCCGATGGCAGGAGCCAGCTACTTCTCCTGGTCTCCCATGGGGTGCAGGGCGCAAGCACTTGGGCCATCCTCCACTGCACTCCCTGGCCACAGCAGAGAGCTGGCCTGGAAGAGGGGCAACCGGGACAGAATCCGGCGCCCCCACCGGGACTAGAACCCGGTGTGCCGGCACCACAAGGTGGAGGATTAGCCTAGTGAGCCGCGGCACCGGCCGACAGAGAGATCTTGCATCTGCTGGTTCACTCCCCAAATGGCCGCAACGGCCAGAGCTACATTGATCCGAAGCCAGGAGCCAGGAGCTTCTTCCAGGCCTCCCATGCGAGTGCAGGGGCCCAGGTACTTGGGCCATCTTCTACTGCTTTCCCAGGCTGTAGCAGAGAGCTGGGTCAGAACACGAGCAGCTGGGACAAGAACCAGCGCCCACATGGGACGCCGGTGCTGCAGGCGGAGGCTTACCCTGCTACATCACAGCGCCGGCCCCTGGGCTGCGTTTCTTCCTAGTGCACAGGAGTTCGGGATCTTCAAGGGACAAGGAAGCGCAAGCATGCAAACACGAACAAAGGCAGGAGGGCCCAGGGAGGGAGCTGGAGGTGTAGACGTCAAGCCCCACCCAGAGGGCAGGTGCCCAGGTGAGCTGTGGCGTGGCGGCTGGGAAGCCGGACCACGCGGAGGAACGCCGGTTGGAATTCCTGAGCCAGCAGACCACAGGGTAGCCTCCCAGGAACCCGGCACCTCCATGGAAACCCCGCGCCCCGCTCTGACCCGGAGCTCTTGACTTCCCCGAAAGCAAGAAGCGAGAAGCAAGAGGGAAAGTGTGTGAGTCTGGGGTGCTGGCATGTTTCGAACTCTGGACTGCTCAGGCCTGGGGCTGGCTCCCTGAGGCCCCTCCCACAGCTGGGGCTGTGAGGCATGGACAGGACCAGGCTTGATGGCAAGGCCGAGGGGCAGGGCTTTGCTGTGGGCTGTGGTCTAGGAAGCCTCCCCACGGGCCTCTGCTGTCCAGGGGACTCCAGGCTGGCCTGGGGCTGGAGGATCTGAGCAGCCTCTGCCTGTCCGACACCTCCTCCTCCTCCTCCCCCCCCTCCCATGCCGGTCCCGGGAAGGGGGCTCTGTGTACCCCTGGTTCTCCTGCTGCCTTGGGTGCATCAGCAAGGACTTGGCGTTGTCACAACAATGCAGCGCACGCAAACCCCGCCTACCCACTCGGCCAGCTTCACCTCTGCTTCCCTCACTGGGAGTCCCAGGCGACACAGGGGACACCCCTCATTCTGCTAATGAGGTGCTTGACTTACTGTGTATCAGGAAAGCGATTACGGGGGCTGGTGGTGTAGTGCAGCGGGCGAAGCCGCCACGGGCATCCCCAGTGGGAGCGTCGTCAGTTCCAGTGCCGGCTGCTCCTCTTCAGGTCCAGCTCCCTACTGACGCTCCTGGGAGAGCAGCAGATAACGGCCCAAGTGCCTGGGCCCCTGCTACCCACAGAGGAGACCCAGATGGAGCTCCTGGCTCCTGGCTTCAGCCTAGCCCAGCCCCCACTTTGGGGAGTGAACCAATGGATGGAAGATCGATCTCTCTCTCTACCTTTCAGACAAACAAATCCTAGGAAACCATTTATAACTAGCACATCTAACCCAGTGACCTCAAGGACTACAATGCTGTCAGCGGACGATGACTGAAGCCCTCCTACACTGCCCGTGGGGATCCACCACAGGGTCTCCACTTTGGGAAAGAGCTCCCCTGGGACCCACAATCAAACCACACGTCCATACTGAGACTGACATGCATTGTTTACAACAGCCAAAAAGGAGCAACGCCCCAATGTCCATCCACTGATAAGTGGATAAATAAAACTGGGTCGGTCCACACAGCAAAATAGTTACCAGCCATAAAAAGTAACTCAGCCCCAAATAAACAAACAAAAAAAGGAAGCACGCGCGGATCTCTGCGACAACAGGCTGGACCCCGGGAGCAGCACCCCACGAGCAAAGCTCCAAACACCACGGGACACACGGGCCCCACGGACACAGACACCCGGCCCCGGGACATGCACGCCGAGAGCGGGTAAGTGGCTGCCAGGCCCTGGGAAGTGACTGTTAATGGGCACTGGGTTGCTTTTGGGGATGACGAAAATGTTCTAAAATTAGATGGTGGTGATGGTTGCACAACTTGGTGAATATCCGAAAAGCCACCGAATTGTATACTCTAAAGGGGGCGACTTGTGGGCCAGGGGAATTGTCCGCACAACGACAATGATAGTAAACATGACCGTGACGGGTGCTGGGTGTGGGGCACAGCAGTGAACGCGGCACCCAGGAAGCCCGTACCCCAGCAGAGTCCCGGCTCTAGCTCTTGCGAACGGGCACCCCGGGAGGCAGCAGGTGAGAGCCCTAGCAGTCACCCACACGTCACAGATGAGCTCCCAGCTCCTCGCCCAGCCCTGCCTGCTGTGGGTATCTGGGGGCGGGGGGAGTGGTGTGAACAAAAGAGATGGAAGATTTCTCTGACTCTCAAATAAAATGAATTCAAAAAATGTTTAACATGACATGGTACAAAAATACATAGTAAGTAAGCAACAGCATAAATGGGGTTCAATAGGGGAGGGTAAAATGGTTCATAAATGATGCAACTCTTCCTTCAGGACTGAGGCTATGGTGTAGTGGGTAAAGCCACCGTCTGCAGAGCCAGCATCCCATATGGGCGCCGGTTTGAGTCCCGGCTGCTCCACTTCCGATCCAGCTCCCTGTTACGGGCCTGGGAAAGCAGTGGAGGACGGCCCAAGTGCTTGGACTCCTGCACCTGTGTGGGAGACCCTGAAGAAGCTCCTGGCTTTGGCCTGGCATTTGCAGCTATCTGGGGAGTGAACCACCAAATGGAAGCTCGCTTGTTCTCTCTCTCTCTCTGTAACTCTGCCTTTCAAATACATAAACAAATCTTAAAAAAAAAACAAAACAAATTCCTTTAGCACAATGCAACAAACCCAGGCTCGGCTGTGGGGGCAGTGACTCGCTCAGGCCACATGGCCACTGAACTAAACCACAGTGACTCATGGCCCCATCTGTCCAGATCCAGGGGCCTGGCCTAACCATCAGGCCCCCTTGCCAGAATGAAGGGTGCATGAGCTGAGACATGGAGACAGGCAAAGGGGCTCCCTCTGTGGGGTTCAAAACAGGAAGCACCCAAGCCCGCCTGGCCACATTCAGAGGCGGCTTCCAGGGTGAGTGGGAGTCCCCGGGCCAGCCCTGTTCCCCAACACCCCTGCAGGACATGCAATGCGGGTGGGGGGCCCGTGGGGGTGGGCTGAGTCTCAGCTCTGCCACATCCTAGCTGGGGGGGGGGGGGGGGGGGTAGGGCCCAACGCCCCCTACCCCCGGGAACTTTTGTAAAAAAAAAATGGGGGAGAAGGGATAAGTTCCAAAGAGGAGGGCTCCCACCCGGCCCCTGTGGAGCGGGAGAGCCAGACCTTGACCTCTGTCCCACATACTGGCCGCCAGGTCCCAGGCGCCCACCCCCTTTTCTCCACTGCCACACTCCCAGCCCCAGCTCCACGAGGCAGGTCCGGGGCAGCCCACTCGGCCAGGGGGAGGCTGTCCGCCTTGGGACGGGGTGGCACCTGGGGCCCAACGGACTCCAGCGTGACCTCCAAGCGGTCCAGGGCTCCCCGTGCCCATGCGCTCAGCACCCACCTCCCCATCAGCGATCCCCGCCCCCCACGCCTCCCAACTCCACGGCGGGCGGCTCCAAGTTAACTTCCACGCGCCCGGGCGGCCGCCGGGGGGTCCGCGAGCGCCGGGGCGGGGCTGGGGACTCCGGGGGCGGCGGCGACACGCGGGCGCCCCCCGCCTCAGTCTCTCTCTCTCTCTCACACACACACACACACGCACTCAGACCCCGAGCGCCGCCGGGTCCCGGACGAGCAGCGCGGTTACCGGGGCCCCGGCAGTGCCGCACCCCGCCGAGAGCGCTCGGGGCGCCTGGCGGCTCTGCGGGTCCCCGCCCGCCCGCCTCCCGGCTCCCCGCCGCCGAGCTGGAGCAGGCGCGCCGGGCCCCGGGGGCAGACGCCGGGACCGAGAGCTCCAGGGCGCCGGAGGCCGCGCGCCCGCCCGCCCGCGCCCGCAGCCCGACACCCCCCGCGCCGCCGCGGGGACACCTACCGTGGCGAGGCGCGGCCAGGCGGCCCCGCGCGCCCAGCGACTCGCGGCTCTCCAGCCGCCCCGGCCGGGCGGGGAGGGGGGGAGGAGGAGGAGGAGGAGGAGGAGGAGGGGGAGGAGGAGGAGGAGGGGCCCGCACGGGGGCGGGGCCTCGGCGCCGTGACGCGGAGGGGGCGTGTGCAGGCGCGGCCCCGCCCGCCGCCCGAGCGCGTGGTGAGCCCGGGAGGCCCGGGGCTGTGCTCGGAGCTGCCCGCGTGCGGGGCTGCCACCTGCGAGGGCAGCGCCTCGCGTTTCCTCGCTGCCTGGAAGCAGGAAAGTTGGATGCTGGCCCCAAAGTGGCGATTTGGAGACGGAAACCAGACCCGGAGCGGGGTGCACTGGTGCTGCCGCGTCTGCTACACGCACATGCATTAGTGCCAGAGAGAGAGAGAGCGAGACAGAGGCGCGGCTCCAGCATCCTCTCCCCACCTCCCTATCTGACATCTGACCTCAGCTGAGGACTTTTTTGGGGGTGTCACTGCGTGGGGGCAGCTTGTGGGTAGAAGCCTGGGGTGCAACTTGGTAGCCCCCAGAGAGGCACGGGACAGCCCCACCCCTCCAGTGCGGAGGTGGCGAAACCCCGGAATAAATAGGACGCCAAGCTTGATAAGCCACAGACGCACAACCCCTCTGCTTCTTGGCGTCATCAGTAATGCCTGCCGGAAAGGAGGAGAAAGAAATATACAGGCTTATTTTTCACCGTGAACTTTTGCTTTTGTTCTCTTTCTAATCTGTTTCAACTATAGCAGTAACTATGACACGCGCATGTGTGTGGGAAAACCAAGTTGGGGCTGGCTTTGTGCTAAGCTGGCATCCGTGTCAGAGTGCAGATTCCAGTCCAGCTGCTCCACTTCCAATCCAGCTCCCTGCTAATCCGCCTGGGAAAGCAGCAGAAGATGGCCCAAGTGCCTGGGCCCCTGTGCCCACCTGGGAGACCCGGATGGAGCTCCTGGCTCCTGCCTTCAGCCTGATCCAGTCCTGGCTTTTGCAGCCATTTGGGGAGTGAACCAGTAGATGGAAAGTCATTCTCTTGCTCTCTCGCTCTGCCTTTCAAATAAATAAATCAATCTTTAAAAAAAGAAAGAATGAAGAAGAAGTTACCAGGGCACACAGATAGTAAGTGATTTGCCCCTGGCCAGGCATGTGTCCATTCAAAGCTCATTCATTAATTCATTCGGGTGTCTGATAAATGGTGCCTTCCACATGGAAGGTGCAGGGCCTGGCAAATCGAAACCCACTGCCTTCGCAGAGCTGGCAATTACTGGTCTGGAAATAATAAAAATATTAGGCAGTGTTTATTGGGTGCCTATTAGAGACTTCCTATGACTGATCTGACGGACACACAGAATAAACGCCAGCTGGGTGTTGTGTAAAGTCCTGCTGTGGGTGGAGAAACGGAGATCAAAGGAAGAAGGTGGAGCCGGGGCCTGTGTTTAGTAACAGCAGCAGCACTCAGTGCTGGGTGCTGGGCACTGGGATGCCACAGGTAACAGCAGGCCAGGGCCTGGAGCCAGGCTCGCCAAGGGAGTCCCTGCGGCTGGCGGGCCAAGAGCTGGGAGTTCCGGGCGGGAGGGAGGGCCAGATGTGTTTACACGGAGGCCAGAGGCATGATGGGGTGGGGGTGGAAACGTGTGGCAGGCACCAGGAACAGCAGGTGCGAAGGCTCAGCAGGTGGGGGCGGGGCCTTTCCCGCAGTGCAGAGTGGACAGGATGTGGTGGTGAGAGATCAGGGGGCTTCCTGGCCTTGTGGGCAGGGGTCCAGGTTTCGCCCGCCCGCAGCCACGCCGAGATGGAGAGAATCCGGGACAGGGTGCGGCAGGGGAAGGGCGTGGTTTGCCCAGCTGTCTGCAGGGATCCCCTGATGCTGCCTGCAGCCCGGGGAGGAGGCCGGGGAGGTCAGCAGAGCCCGGGGAAGCACCGAGGGCACGCAGGGAGTGCTCTGCATCGGAGATGTTTGGCAGGCAGCATTGATGGGCAGGTGTCAATCCCAGGGCTAAGGAGGAACAGCGGAAGGACCCTCTGGTCTCTAGATTTCACCTTCTCCCCTCAGTCCCCAGCCCCGCAAGTCTTCTCGGGGCTCCATCTGGGTGCCAGCTCCTGGAGGGAGCCTAGGGCACCCTGACCCATCAGTCACGGGACCGCACAGCCCGGGAATCCGACGCAGCCTTGAAGGCAGGTGAACGAGTGAGCTCCTTCTTGTCTGCTCCCCCAGCCTGGGCACACCCAGGGCGGGGCCTGATGCTTGTCTTCTCCCAGCAGCGTCTAGACAAAGCGTGCCACTTAGGAGGTCTACCATCCATACTTGTAGAAAGCCGGAGACAGACACGCAGCCTAAGACACATCGATCCCGAAACTCGGTCAAGAAGAGGCCATTGATGCCAGGTCAATAACTGCGCGTTATCCAGGTGCTTGCTGTGTGCAGAGCCCCTCATAAATATTAAATCAAGCTGCTCATTTGCTTCCTCCGCCCTCCCCCCGCCATCACCTTCTGAGGTTTTGTTATCATTACTCCTGTTCTACAGAGGGACAACCGAGCCTACACCGAATGCTCTGATTCGCCGAGGACAGCAGCTGCAAACCGGCAGAGCTGGAGACCAAACGTGGGTCTCTCTCACGTCTTCCAGTGAGCTGGCAGCAGGGGATGGCTGCGAGGGGACAGGAAGCCCCGGGCGGATGGCGGCTTCCCTTTCCTGTTGGAAGGGTTTGGAGGCACCCTTCCGCACTGGGGAGCCAGGCTTTACAAAGCAACCTTTGATCTGGCCTGTGTCAGCCAGGTAGCTGACTGTGTTTCAGAAAAACCCCGTAAGTACACAGGGCCAGCTGCCAACTGAGGAAGGTGCTGTGTGGTGGGGAAAAAAAGACAGAAAAATTCAGAGTGACACCAAGTTGATTTTATTAGTGACTCCTAGGCAGAAGAGTAGTCGTGGGTGGCCACAGGACTTGAAGATCCCTGTACCACACCACACAGGAGAAAAAGGTGGTTTTTTTAAATTAATTAATTTGAAAGGCAGAGGGGAGGGGGGAAACAGAGAGAGGAGAGAGAGAGAGACTGGGCCAGGCCAAAGCCAGGGGCCAGCCATGCCATCCAGGTCTCCCACGTGGGTACACTCAGATCATCTTCCTCTGCTTTCCGGGCACATGGGCAGGGGGCTGGATTGGGAGTGGAGCTGCCAGGGCTCTTGTTGGCTCTCCAGTACGGAAGGCCAGCGTCCCAAGGGGATGCTTCTCCTTCAGCTGGGCCACACCCCTGGACGCTGCAGGGTTTCCTAGGCAAAGCTGCCCTGCGCTAACCGGAATGCACCCGGACTCTCTCAAGAAATGCTCACGTTCTGGGCATTGGATAGGAGACATTCCATGAGGCAGGTTGTATTAATGACTGGGTTTGTCCCATGGGGCCTGGGGTGACCATCAGCTCACCGAAAGGACATGATGATGGCTGCTACTAATGAGATGGTTGCGGTGACCCCAAGCCGGGTCCTCAGACGCCGCAATGGCAACGTGGCTCTGAGCAGCGGTGGGGAATGTCCAGCCTGCTGGCCGTGTAAGGCACTCAGAATCATTTGTTCTGGGCCTGCCAAGGCCCACAGGGGGGACTCGAAATTCATCTCTAGCAGACTGGTGTTTAAGGTGATAATGTTGTGTGGCCCGCAAATGACATCATCCGTATCCAAATTGCCTTTGGCAGAAAAAAAAAAAATAGGAAGGTTCCCAGCCCTGCTTTGGAACCCACTCAGGGACCCTGGAACCAAATCTTTTCCCCAGAGCTCAGCTGTTGTGTGTCCATCAGCATCGGACACTGACACCCACGCGGCCGATACCTCTGATGGCTTTGAGAATGGCCCTCCTGTCCCCACTGCACGTGTGTGCCTCATGCTGGCACCCCGGTGCCTGGGAGGGGCTGCCTTCTGTCACCGTGGCAGGGAGATGACGCTGCATAACCAAGACACTGTCTTCCCAGAGGCCCACGATGGGGAGTTTTACCCACCAGGCTCCCGCGATGGAGCATAACGAGTCCCCAGACTGTGCATCCGCTGAGCTCCAAAGGCCGTGTTCGTGGAAAATTACAGCAGAGCCAGAGCTACCATGCAGAAGCCCCCGCCCCAGGGCACGGCGGCTGCTCCGTGAGTCCAGCTCCACCGGTTTCCCCCGGTATCACCCCCATCACCGAGCACCCAGTGAAATCGAAACTCAAAGTTTCAGTTTCAAGGCAAAAAGGTGACTTCTCTGTGAATTCGGACAGCCTGCTGCAGGTGGCGGGGAGCTGAAAACCCAGGGGGAGGGCACGGGGTTTGCGGCTCTCACGCGACGCTCACTCCTGCCCTCCTTTCGTGTTCCCTCTCTTGGTCTCGGTTCGTCTTTATGATTTATTTTTGTTTATACTCTCTTATTCTGTGTTTTTATTACCACGTGTTCTATGGCTTCAGACATCCATCAGCATACAAAAAAAAAGTCAATGAAGTATAAATATCACCATGTTAACTGTTGTTTTCTTCTGGTTTGGGCAAATGTATGGATCTGATTTCAGCCATGCAAATGGGCACTTTTTTGGTTTTGTTTTGTTTTGGTGTGTTAACATCTGCGAGAAAGAGGATATTTGTGAGTTGAAAGCAGTCCAAAAGAGCTGACCTACCAATGCAAAGACGTTTGGAGAAGAGCTGGACGGACGAATTTCTAGTATGTCTACCTTTTTATAGGACTCGTTAGATTGAGACACTGGAAACTGTTATGTTCAAAGTTCTCCCACGTGGTTCTCTCACTGATGATAGAATGAAAATCCCGGGTGATCAGGAAGCGACAGGGACTCAGAGAGCGATAGCTCTCCTTTCCTCTCCGGGGTTACAGAATCACCGTGCATCTCAGCAGAGAGAGCGTGGGGTTGAGGAAACACACAGTCAGCCCCTCGTGACTCACAGCATTGGAAGGCTCGCGACCTCAGGGCCTCAGACACTGCAGTCAGAGACTCCCAGAAGCGGGGAGATTAAGTGGCAGAATCTGGGAGAGTCGTGGACCCTGGGAGCCGTGGAATCCCAGCCACAGAACTTGGGGCTCACTGGGCGCGAGAGCTGCCACTCTGCAGGAGGGAAGAGGGAATGGTCCCCGAGTATGTGTTTGGAGGGAGGGGTGGACGCGCTCTGTCAATCCTTTGCCGTGACGACACCCACGTGTCCCGATCTGCTCCGCAATGCCGGCCCACAGGCTGCACTGCAGGACGGAGCTGGGAGAACGAGGCTGGGAAGAAGCAAGAGGGAGGGTGCATCACACAGCATGACCCACCCAAGGCTATATGAGGCGGCGCCTCAACCTTGAAGTTCAGAAAAACCACGGAGCGCGGTGTCGGAAGGCCCATGACTCCATCTTCCACCACACTCAGCATCCCCTTCCTGCCTCCCACTTCTGCCCACGCAGCCACCGAGCTGCTGCTTCAGTGAGCTCTCTCAGCCTCTGGGCCCTCGCTCACAGTGTGGCAGGACTGCCAAGCACAGCCGCACAGGTTGGGCACTGCACCAGGAGGGCCACATTCGCACCGCAGCCATGCCAAATGTATACCAATAATGTCTGGCAGATGGCAAGACAACGTCTTGAAGAAGAATCATCTTTTCATCTTGGAACACAAGTGCCATCTGGGGTGGCAGGGACCTGGATGTCTGCCCTGCCAGGGATACCATCACCCCCGTTCTCCACCACAGAAATTCCTGCCCCATCCTCTAATGTCTCTTTCAAATGTTCCCTTCTTGGCTGGTGCCGCGGCTCACTAGGCTAATCCTCTGCCTGCGGCACCAGTGCCCCGGGTTCTAGTCCCGATTGGGGCACCTGTTCTGTCCCGGCTGCTCCTCTTCTGATCCAGCTCTCTGCTGTGGCCCGGGAAGGCAGTGGAGGATGGCCCAAGTGCTTGGGCCCTGCACCCACATGGGAGACCAGGAGGAAGCACCTGGCTCCTGGCTTCGGATCGATGCAGTGCGCTGGCCGTGGTGGCCATCTGGAGAGTGAACCAATGGAAGGAAGACCTTTCTCTCTCTCTCTCTCTCTCACTGTCTAACTCTGCCTGTCAAAAAAAAAAAAAAAAAAAAAAAAAAAAAGTTCCCTTCTCCAGGAAGTTCTACCCACCCTCCTGCGGGGTTCCTGCGTGGATTAATGGTTGATAACCCCAATCAATGTGAGCTGTTGATACAGGAGCCAATCAATAGTGCCTGGCAGTGATTTCCAAAATAGATGATTCCAGGTGGAACTTGGACCCGGAATTAAATAACAGTGAATCGGGGGCAGGAGTTGTGGCTCAGTGGATCAAGCAGTGACTTGTGACACCAGCACCTCATATGAGCGCCTGTTCAAGTCCTGGCTGTTCCACGTCTGATCCAGCTCCCTGTTAAAGTGCCTGGGAAAGCAGCAGAAGATGGCCCAGGTACCTGGATCCCTGCTACCACATGGGAGACCTGGATCAAGTTCCTGGCTCCTGGCTTCAACCTGGCCCAGCCCTGGCTGTTGCAGCCATTTGAGGAGTGAACCAGTAGATAGAAGATGCCTCCCTCTCTCTGTCTCTCCCTCTGTCTCTCTGTAACTCTGTTTTTCAAATAAATAAATAAATCTTTAGAGAAAATAAATGGGCCAGCGCCGCGGCTCACTAGGCTAATCCTCCGCCTTGCGGCGCTGGCACACCGGGTTCTAGTCACGGTCGGGGCACCGGATTCTGTCCTGGTTGCCTCTCTTCCAGGCCAGCTCTCTGCTGTGGCCAGGGAGTGCAGTGGAGGATGGCCCAAGTGCTTGGGCCCTGCACCCCATGGGAGACCAGGAGAAGCACCTGGCTCCTGCCATCGGATCAGCGCGGTACGCCGGCCGCAGCGCACTGGCCGCGGCGGACATTGGAGTGTGAACAAACGGCAAAGGAAGACCTTTCTCTCTGTCTCCCTCTCTCACTGTCCACTCTGCCTGTCAAAAAAAAAAAAATTAAAAAAAAAAAAGAGAAAATAAATGATGCCAGGTCAGATACACTAGTATTCTCTTCCATCTTTGTTGAGGAAGTCAAGGAGAGAAACGTCTCATCTTGCTGCATGCATGTCTTTCACACTTGTCCCCAGAGCCAGCCAGTCATCCACTGTGTGAAAGAGGAAGCAGCGGGCCGGCGCTGTGGCGTAGCAGGTAAAGCCCCTGCCTGCAGTGCCAGCATCCCATATAGGCGCTGGTTCAAGACCTGGCTGCTCCACTTCCTGTCCAGCTCTCTGCTGTGGCCTGGGAAAGCAGTGGAGGATGGCCCAAAGCCTTGGGCCCCTGCATCTGCGTGGGAGACCCAGGGGAAGCTCCTGGCTCCTGGCTTCGGATTGGCTGAGCTCAGGCCATTGCAACCATCTGGGGAGTGAACCAGCGGATAGAAGACCTCTCTCTCTCTCTCTCTCTCTCTCTCTACCTCTCCTTGTCTGTCTGTGTAACTGCCTTTCAAATAAATAAATTAAAAAAAAAAAAAAAAGCGTGAACAGACTGAAAGCCTTCTGCAGGCAGCCATGTCCACAGAGAAGCTGTCGTCTTTCCATCTGATTGATTTGATTACAGGATGCTGATTCTCCACCTCCCACAGTGCTGTAAAGCACAAACAAGCACACCAAGCCTCTTTAAATACAACTCTGAAGTCACCGCAGGGCCAGGTGGTGCGCAGATGTGACCAGGAAGCCAGGAGAGTGGTGCACAGAGCACGAGTTTGCAGAGTGCACATTTGGCAAAGACTCTGGAACCAGACTTCCTGGATTCAAATCTAGACAGGCTGTCTGTGTGGCCTCGGGCAAGTCACTTCCCTGCTCTGAGCCTCGAGGGGAATATTTCAACACCAGCCCCCCAGTGTTGTCTGAAAGATAAACCAGAGTAATGTACACAAGAACTTTGCTTGGTGGGCATCGAGTGAAGCATTTAAGATGCCACTTGGGGGGCCAGCGCTGTGGCACAGTGGGTAAAGCCTCCACCCATGGTACCGGCATCCCATATGGGCGCTGGCTCAAGTCCCGGCTGCTCCTCTTCCAATCCAGCTCTCTGCTATGGCCTGGGAAAGCAGTAGAAGATGGCCCAAGTCCTTGGGCCCTTGCACCCCCCATGGAAGACCCAGAAGAAGCTCCTGGCTCTTGGCTCCTGGCTCCTGGCTTCGGATTGGCCCAGCTCTGACTGCTGTGGCCATTTGGGGCATGAACCAGTGGATGAAGGACCTTTCTCTCTGTCTCTCCCTCTCTGTTTGTAACTCTGCCTCTCAAATAGATCTTTAAAAAAGAAAAACACGTGGCCCGTGGGACACCCGCATCCCACATCAGAGCGCCGCGGTTTTGAGTCCTGGCTCTGCTCCTGGTTCCGGCTTCCTGCTTGTGTGCACCCCGGGTGGCGGGGGGTGCAGGCTCCAGCGGCAGGGTCCCCGCCATCCAAGTAGGAGACGTGGATGGAGCTCCCAGATCTGGGCTATAGCCTGGCCCAGCCCTGGCTGTCGTGGGCATCTGGGGAGTGAGCCAGTGGAGGGGGAGTTCTCTTTCTCTCTTTCAAAGTTTAAAAAAAAAAAAAAAAGCACATTGCAGTGTCATTGTTACAAGGACTAAGACTGTGCAAGTCACGCCACCACCCCCCCCAACCTGGGGACTCCGAGGCACACAGCAGTTCACAGACCCCAAGAGACACTCTGGCTTAGGAGTTTTTATTTGCATGGGAACAGCAGATGCGACAGTGAGCCTGGGAGGGGCGGGGCCGGGGAGTGGAGCAGCGCGTGACCCCGCGTGGCCCCGCGTGGACTCACTGCGGGGGCTCGGCGGCCAGCACAGGGAAGCAGCCCTCGCGGTGCCACTGCCGGTCACGCAGGCGGCGCACGGCCTGCATCTGCGGCTGGAAGGCCCCCCAGTCGTTCCAGTGCCGGAAGTCTCCAGGCTCCAGGAGGTACTGGTACCCACGGTAGCCGGGATACTGGTAGCCAACCCACCTAGGAGGAGAGCAAAAGGGACAGCCTGGCTCCTGGACCCCTGCGCGGGGCCGGCCAGTTCTCCGACTAGTGTGGTTTGAAATGTCTGTCTCCCCAGTACCCCAAACTCGCACAGGAGTTTAGTCCCCAAAGTCCCACATTAATGGTACTGAGGATTGCACAGTCAATGCAAGTCTAGTGGTCGAGGCGGGGCCTTGAGGGAGGGATGAGATTGGACTAAATCAGTAGGGTAGAACACCCATGAGTGCATGAGAGAGGGGGAGGGGGGGAGAGGAGAGAGGGAGGGGGAGAGGGAGAGAGGACAGAGACGCAGACACGTGCTCGCTGTCTCCGGCTGTGTGCCCTGTGCCCTCGGGACTCCCTCATCAACAGAGGCTGAACCCACTGGGCCTGTAGAACCATGAGACAAAGCCAACTCATTTTCTTGATAAAGCAGACAAGGAGCTCATGGATCCCGGCAATCTTCTGTCCATCTCTCACCTCTGTGGTCTGGGGCCTGTGTCACATGGGGCTCCTCAGCCCTGAATTTGCCCCATCCCAATGCGTGCACTCGTTTCTCAGACAGGCCTCAGTTTCCAATTCTGGAAAGTGGGCACAACCACAGGGACTGGCTTATTCCGAGTGTTTTGCGGGGCACATGGGAAAGAGGACTTGAGGTGTTTTCGATGTACGATGTCCACACGTGAGAAGGGAGATCAACACACACCCCACTGGATGTGGTGCCCCGGGGCTCAGAGGAGAACGAGCAAAACGTAGCAAAAATGGGGGCTTTGAGATTGCTCAGCAAATGTCAATGATTCCTTTCTCACTTCCCTCTCTGCTCCTGTTGGGAGAAGAGTCTGTAGGTTTCTGCTGGGCCCTTGATGGTCTTTCAAAGCCTGGTTCAAGCCCCAGTCTCTTTGAGCAACCGTTGGAGCTGTCTGCCACCCAAAACACACACCCAGGACCCAGGCTCCTTCCTCCCTCCTGCAGCACGGACATCTCGTCTGGGCCACGGCTTCCCTAGCACGGCTGGACCTCATCTCACCAGGCGTGGGGCACCCCCGAGAGCCCGAGGAAGCTTCTGGAAGGCAGGACCTGGGCCTCACTCTCCTCTGCCTGCCCCAAGGTGGCACCTGACCCCAGACAAGTCTCTGTTCGCTCAAGATGGTTCGAACGGCAGGATCACAGGCTTCCAGGAATGGGGAAATAGGGCCAGGGCTGCGACAGTGTTACAAGGGACTCAGCACGAGCCTGGGCTGGAGGGATGGAGGGGCCCGGGGGTCTCCGGCATGGCTGTTTGGAGGCAGAGTGATGGACACAGTGGCCTCCCCGGGCACCCAGCCTTTCCCTCCTGTCTTCTCAAGGCCACGGGGACACAGGGCTCAGCCTGGGACAACTGCAGATCCTGGGGGTTGAGAGCAGGAAAGGCCCTTTAAGTCCTAGGAGCGCGGCGTGCCCATTGTGCAGCCGACGACCCTGAGCCATGGCGGGCCAGGGGGGTAGTGGGTGGGGGCCAGGACTCAGGCTCTCAGCACCATGGTGGCCACACCCAGCCGGTTTCTAGGGCCCTGCAGAAACCTAGAAAGACCCTTCTCCCAGGAGAGGCAGAGAGAGAAGTGAGAGACAAATTCTTGGCGTCAATGACTTTTTTGAGTGCTGACAGTACGTGAAGACTGTGCCTCTCGCCCGAGCTGGACCTCCCTGCTCGGGAGTTCTTCTGCTCCTTTCCCAGGGACTGTGCGTGTCCCTCGTCCCTCTCTGTCCCCAGGCCATGCACCCCTCTGTCCACAGCAGCCCTGAGCCCCGACTCCATTGCTCCCTCGGACCCCGTCTTGGCCAAGCAGCTCTCCGTCTCTCCATTTCCAGGCTTTTTTTTTTTTTTTTTTTTTTTTTTGACAGGCAGAGTGGACAGTGAGAGAGAGAGACAGAGAGAGAAAGGTCTTCCTTTGCCGCTGGTTCACCCTCCAATGGCCGCCGCTGCAGCCGGCGCACCGCGCTGATCCTGGCAGGAGCCAGGAGCCAGGTGCTTTTCCTGGTCTCCCATGGGGTGCAGGGCCCAAGCACCTGGGCCATCCTCCACTGCACTCCCTGGCCATAGCAGAGAGCTGGCCTGGAAGAGGGGCAACCGGGACAGAATCTGGCGCCCCAACCGGGACTAGAACCCGGTGTGCCGGCGCCGCAAGGTGGAGGATTAGCCTATTGAGCCACGGCGCCGGCTCATTTCCAGGCTTTTCACAGCCAGCGGCCAGCTTTGTCTTGCCTGCCTGCCATGGAATACACCAGAACCCCAGGTGCCAGCACCAGGAGGCTTGGGGAGGGGCGGGGCAGGGCACACTGTTAGCACGCAGCCTCCCAGTCTGTGTGAGCCCGGGGCAGGGGGCTTACGTTCCACTGGCGACCTTCACGCTGCCCACGCGGTCACAGAAGCCGTAGACCCAGAGGCTGGGCACGTCGTCCTCCTGGATCTCCATGGTGTTGCCCTTGAAGTTGGCACCTTCGTACAGGCAGATCTTGTGCTCCTGGGAGTCCTGGGAAAGCAGAGGCGGGGTCAGCTGTGGCACGTGTTGGCGGGGTGAGAAACAGAGACAGGTCGCTTGGTGAGGCCTCCTGGGTATGGAGAGAGGACGCCGTGGGGCTCCCCCGGGATCACTGGCCCCGAAGGAACTTCCTCGTCTGTGAAAAGGGCTCATGGTTCCTACATCCCAGTGTTGAGATGGTGATGAAATGGATTAACCCACCCAGGGCACCAAGTGCGATGCCTGGCCCTCAGCCACTGCTCAGAACACCAGGTTCATGGCAGCTATGATCACGGCCAGGGTCAAGGGTTGTGGTCAGTGTCACACGGCCGAGGAGGGCAGATGCTTGCAGGGAAACATGGCATTCCCAAGCCCCATGCCATCGAGAGCTTAACCGCCGGCCCTGCAGTTCCTACTTCTGCCTCACAGAGGATAGGCCAACCTGGAGAGTCTCGGGGGGCTCGGGGGGGCTGTGATCTGGATTCAAAATCGCCCCCTGACGTTCACATGCTGGTGACCTGGGGCATTTTACCCTGCCCTTCCGTGCCTTGGTTTGTTCGCCTGTGGAACGGGCTTCCAGTGGGCCCAGGGGATGGTGAGGGACAACCACTCCACTCATGACAGGTGTCAGCTTTGTAACAGGCCTGCCCTTGGACTTGGGCACACGATTCGGCTCTGGCTTCTCAGAGGCTTGCACATCCTGACCTCGCCTCCAGTGGGGGTGGGGAAGGTACCGAGGGAGGCAAGGCGTGGGCGGTGGTGGTGGGGGAGGTTGGAATGCGTGGGATGTATCTGTGTGGCCAGGGCACAAGCGGATGAGAGCGTGGTGTGGGGCAGGGTTGGGAGCCCAGGGGATCCGCTCAGGGGCAGGCCGCGCACCCCCGAGCAGTTGCCAGCCCAAGGTGAGTGCCTCACTGCTGCAGACAACCATCATTTATCACTGTCAAAGCCTTGAGTCTTGGGGAGGTGGAGCCATGATGGCTCCCCATCGTGGGTGGAGTCAACACGAACTCCGCGTGGGGGCCTGCATGCCCAGCTCTGTCCCTGCCCACACCCCTCCCGTCTGGCACGCCTCTCCCCTCCACTCCCCCTGCTGCAGCCAGCCATACAGGCCCCCACCACCCAACGTGAGAGACCTGGCTCACTCTCCCCAGTGAGCTTCCGTGACACAGAAGGCCGTATAAGGACCATCAGCAATGGAGAGAGGAATGCACGTGTTCTGACAGTCTTGTGTGGGCTGATGGTTCAGAGAACTGGAGGATGGCTGGGTTACAGAGACCATCAGGACGCATTGCGTGAGGCCCAGCAGCTGCTGCTGGCTCCGGAGCACCTCGGATGGGCGGTTGTGAAGATTGAGCAACAGGGGTTGGAGAGCTGGCACAGTCCCGGCCAGCTCCCTGTGAATGCTCCCGGGCTTGATACCTGGGCCCCTGCCACCCACATGGGAGACGGGGAGGCAGTTCCAGGCCCCTGGCTATGCCCAGTCCCAGTGACCATTGGGAAGTGAGAGATCTCTCTCTCTCTTCCTCTCACTCTCTCTCTCTCCCCTTTCTCCCTCACTTTCTCTCTGTCACTCTGCCTTTCAAATAAATAAATAATCTTTTCAAAAAGAAAATTCTGCACGAGTATTCCCACTGGGGAAGACACACGTGGTGTCCCACATTGAGGGGACCAGCTTGTGACTCATCATTGAGTCATAATCCCGGAAAAATTCTGAGTCCCCTGCGGATATCGCCACGTGCCTAACCTTGACTCTCCTTAGTTAAATATCGCGATCAGCAAATTCGCAGTGTCTGATTATCAACAAGTTCAAGTGGCTTTTCAGTAACAACCCGTGAGCCCACTCCTACCCACTGCATACTCTGCAGCCTGCAGCTTTGCTGATTGGGTGGGCCTTGAAGGGGTATAACGTGAGCCTAGGGTTCGAATCCTTCCACCGGGAGAATGAAAGCAGACACCGGAATTTCTATTCTTAACCATTGCAACATTGAGTCCACTCCCCATAGCTACCGAAAAAGGAAAAACCTGGCTTTGGGTTTATCATGTGCCCAAGGCTCCTAACGTAGGGCTGGGAGCCCAGTGAGGGTGTCAGGGCAGCTGGATGAACAGGAGAACCCACTGCCCTGGGGCACACCCCAGAGGCTCCCACGCCTCCCATCCTCTCACCATCGGCCAGCAGAGGGGCCCCAGCCCTCCGCCAGGAGCCACTCACCATCTTGATGGGCCGGAAGGACATGAGGCGGTCACTGCGGTAGCTGCTGGACCAGGTGTCCCAGCGCGGGTACTCTCCCTTCTCCAGCACAAACATCTCCCCGCGGAAGTTGGACTGCTCAAAGGCAACCCAGCTGCGGGCGACCAGAACGGTGAGGGCAGGGAGGGCAGAGAAGAGACAGCTGTTAGCGGAAGTCCCTCTGCACCTCTGTCCCCCCTTGCAGGACAGCTCCAAGGCCAGAGCCATAGCCCACAATGGGCCTAACAGGCCTGGGTTTAATTCCAGGCTCTGCCTCTTGCAGGCTGTGAGACTCTGGGCAAGTGGCTTCCCTCTCTGAGCTGTCTACAGTAGTGAGCGTGTTTTCTGGAAACTAGCAAAGGGTAAATGGGATCATGTGGGTAATTAGCTGAGCACACTGTGTCCACAGATTGTAACACCCAGAGAAACACTTTCTTTGGAGCTTAGTTATGCTGGGAGCAAGTCTCTGAGGCTAGAGTGCCTTTAACGCTTACTAATCTCTCTCTTTCTAACAAAGGAAGACCAAGCCACAGGCTCAGAGCCTTGAGCAGGTGATGGGATTAACATAACTGCATTTGCGTTCCTTAGATCAAGTCCCCCACAGCCCTTTTACTTAAAGCAAGCGATCCTTAGCTTTCTATTTACAAATGAATATATGTTCTCTGTGTTTAAAAAAGGAAAGTCCCTTTAAATGAAGTGTGTTAAGTAAATAATAGTTCCGGAGCTACGGGAAACCTTGGGACAGGTGCTCGACTCAGACATTGCGCCAAGCATGGGCTGGCAACCAGGTCACACTGGCTAACAGGTATGGGGCAGTGGGAGGGGAGCCCCGCAGATCCCCCGCAGGAATGAAATGGGACGGTGCAAACGAATGTGTTCAGTCCTCTGCAAAGACTCATTAGAAGCTGGCAGTCAGATGAGAGCCCTCCCTGGCTTTCCCAGTGCTGCCCGATATAGGGCGGGGCATGAGCTTGTGTCAGAGATGCCAGGGGCTCCTGGGAGCTAGGATGATCCGCGTCGCCCAGGGGAGAAGGTGGAGACCGTGCCCTTTACTCTCTCTGTGTTCTGGAGTTTTCAGGGAACAAGAGAAGGCTGAAGGGACAAAGGCACGAGCGTCAGCTTCCTGCAGGCTCCTGGGAACCTCCCTCCCCACAAGGAAATGGGAGGGAGACAGAATGTACCCCAGAAACCTCAGGGCCTTGTCAGAGGCAGGGGTGAACCACGCAGGAGAGATAAGATTCAAGATGGGGACTCGTGCTACCAGAGTAGAGTTGGATTTGCCTCAGTCCTGTTGTGTCTAGAATAGAAGAGAAAAGGACACTTGGGTGGATAGGTGGATGGATAGATGGGTAGATGGCTGAGTGGATGGCTGGGTGGGTGGATGGCTGGCTGGGTGAATGGCTGGGTGGGTGGGTAGATGGCTGAGTGGATGGCTGGGGGTGGTTGGATGGCTGGGTGGATGAGTGCATAGGTGGATGGATGGACGATTGGATGGATGGATAGGCAGAGGGATATATGGATGGTAGGTAGATAGATGGATAAATGGGTATATGGCTGGGTGGATGGGTGGGTGGTTGGGTGGATAGATGGTGGGTGGGTAGATGGGTAGATGGCTGAGTGGATCAATAGATGGGTGGTTGGTTGGATAGATAGATGAGTGGATGGAGAAGCAAGAAAGGGATAAGTAGACATATGAATGAATGGGTTGGTGGATGGATGGATCTGTAGCTGGATAGAGAGAAGTAGACGGGTGATGAATGGGTGGATGGATATATGCATGAGTGGGTAGGAGGGAGCTTGGAGGGTGACCTCATGTGGGAGTTAAGAGCAGACTCTGGAAGCAGATAATCCCGAGTTCTAATCCCCATTCACCATTTGTTTGCTGTGGGACTTAGGCCAGTCAAGCTCACTAAGTTTCAGTGAAGAGAGAAAACCATTGCCAAGTACCTGGTCAGGAGACTGTGGGGGCCTACAAGAGGGAATGCATGGGACGGATCCAGCCCGGGGTCTGCACGGTCACCAATGCCATTATGACACAAGGGAGAGAGAAGCTTCTGGGGACCCGAGCTCATGGAAAGACAGATGCAGAGGGGGTCTGGCTACCCCACCCAGCCTGCCCCCGACCCTCCCCCCCACTGTCTTCTTCAGGGGGCCCAGGAGGAGCCGTGGCAGGATGAGGAATGGTCAGTATTTATGTCAATGCCTTTTCTCTCCCAGGGCTCCTTGGAGCCCAGCAGCAAGGAGAGAGGAGGACGGGGATTCTGATTTACAGATGTGGCCACTGAGACCCAGAGAGGGCACAGCTCTAGCGTCACATGACGGTGTCAGGTGTCGGGCTGAGGTTTCCCCGGTCTCACGCAGGCATGGCTGCTCGCCCCCACGCTGCGGGCTCTGCCTCTCTTCCCGCACCCCTGCCCACCCTGCCCTTCCTTTCTGCCCGCAGCCCTGCTGGCCCTGACACAGATCCGGGCCCCCGCAGCACAGGCCTTTGTGCTCCCCGCCTTGGGCACAGCGGGAGCAGCTGCATCTCTGCTGGAGGAGAAATACTCTAGGTTTGAGTCACCAGTGCTGAAAAAAGCCTGAAAACCCAAGCTGCCCACATCCGGTGCAGTTTCTGTTCCCAGCTAAGTTTGGGGGCCGAGGGTGGGGCTGAGGCTGTGCTGGCCACACTGGGGGTGGGGTGGGGGCAGGAGGTGGAAAAGGGCCCCTCCCCAGCCTGCACTGGACCAGGGCGACTTGGCTAACAGTCATCACAGTCACCTTCAGGGTCTGGTGCCCACTGAACACCTGAACAGTCCCCCGAGGGGCCTCAGAACCATCCTGGGAGGGCTGGTGGGGAGCAGGTGCCTCCCCACTTCAGAGGTGTAGAAACTGAGGCTTGGAGACTGAACAAGACAAAGGGGACAGTGGGGACTCCAATCCACGCTTCTCCGACCTCACAGCCCATGTCTGCTCTCTGTCCCACCAAGAACCTGAGATGCTCAGGATACAGGTGGAACATGCCCTTGAGGGGTCGGGGGAACAGAGACGAAAGGAAGCGGTCTACTGGGTTTCGTCCTGGGACCGGGCCTGTGTCCTGCCTTCATCGCACACAGTGGGGCAGCCACTCCACCTGCGGGACGGTTCTTTCTACTCTGGGAGACCATGGAGACCCAGAGAAACCCAGAGAGCAGGCAGTGAGGTCCAGGGGTTAAGAGCTCTGGGATCGATTTCGGCCAGCCTGGGTTGAATCCTGGCTCTGTCACTCACCAGAGATTGTCTCCACCCCTACCCCACCCCCGCCAAGCCTCAGTATTCCCATCAGTCCAATGGGTACAAGAATAGCCCTCCCTCATGCAACATGGTACTGGCATCTAGGTAAGCCCTCGGCCAGTGCCTGACCCCCAGTGGGGGCCCTACAGATGCTTCTTGTGACTCCCAGGGGCTGCCTGAGGCTGGCAGAGGAGGCAGCTCGGTGGGCACTTGGCTCTTGGGACTCCTCTTATCCTCTCTGATAGGTTAGAACAAGAGCAACATTATAGCGGGAGAACCATGACTCACTGACCGTGTCATACAATTAGATCACATCTGAGCCTCTTTTCTCATCTGTAAGATGGGAAGAACCATAGCACCTCCCTCCGGGGCTCGACATGGGCTGGTGGCACAGTGGCAGGCACACAGCGGCCGCCCTCGTGTGCCGATGATGTCGCCCCTCCCTTGCCCCACACTCACGGTCCCGAGGTGACAATGAGGCTGCGCACTCGGTCAAAGCTGCGGTCGCCCAGGTTCACGCACTCCCCCGAGAATTCCACGCGGCGGCCCTGGAAGTTCTCCTGTTCGAAGACCACCAACTGCAGGAGAGAAGCCCCCACGTCCCAGGGCGGGGGTGGGGTGGGGCAGAGAGTGAGGGGTGGGGCTTCCTCCAAACCACAGAAGCTCCAAGTGAAAAACCCAGTAAGGGTCTGGCATTGCGGTGCCGCAGGTTAAGCCGCTGCCTGTGACGCTGGTGTCCCATATCAGAGAAGTGGTTCGAGTCCCAGCTGCTCCACTTCTGATCCAGCTCCCTGCTCGTGTGCCTGGGAAGGCAGCGGGTGATGGCCCAGTGCTTGGGTCCCTGCCACCCGCATGAGAGCAGGATAGAATTCCGGGCTCCGAGCTCCTGGCTTTGTCCAACCATGACCATTATGGCCATGTGGGGAGTGAACCAGCACATGGAAGATATGGGTGCCGGGTTCTAGTCCCAGTTGCTCCTCTTCCAGTCCAGCTCTCTGCTGTGGCCCGGGAGGGCAGTGGAGGATGGCCCAAGTGCTTGGGCCCTGCACCCGCATGGGAGACCAGGAGGAAACACCTGGCTCCTGGCTCTGGATTGGCGCAGTGCGCCGGCCGTAGCAGCCATTTGGGGGGTGTCTCTCTTTCTCACAGTCTAACTCTGTCAAATTAAAAAAAAAAAAAGACTGCCCCACTGTGATCCACTTCTAAACAAAACAAGTAACTCCACTTAGTCACTGCTGCTAGCTTTTGCTCTGGGGGCTCTCTCTCTCTCTCTCTCTTGCTCTCTCTCTCTGCACCCTCTCTTTACCCAAGCTCAGCAGAGACCAGGGACTCCTGCAGCACGTGCTCCAGGGCCAAGGCTCCAGACACACCTGCCGGTCTAGGGGAGAACTCGAGCTCACGGAGCAGCACCTGCTGTTCCAGGTCGGGGACACTCTGTGGCTCACCTGAACCAGGGAATCGTCTGCCTTTGAGTCTCAGTTTCCCTAACTGTAAAAAGGAGGAGTCTTTTGACCTTGACCTTGTCCTTCCACAGCTACCTGAGAAGCCCTGGCCTGAGCAGGGACCGTGTGGTTCTGGACTGCAGAGAGCCACCACTCACAGGGCCCCCTGCAGGAGAGCGACCGGCACTGCACGTCCGGCAGCCGACGTGAGCCACGCACGGCAATGCACAGGACGGTAGGGGTTTCACAGTGAGTGGAGAAGAAAAAGGAGATAAAGAACAAAAAGAAGAAGGAAGGGGCTGACGTTGGGTGCAGCAGGTGAAGCTGCAGCCTGCAACGCCAGCATCCCAGATGAGCGCTGGTTCGAGTCCTGGCTGCTCCACTTCCTGTTCAGCTCCCTGCTGACGTGCCTGAGAAGGCAGTGGAGGATGGCCCGAGTCCTTGGGCCCCTGCAGCCACGTGGGGGACCTGGATGGAGCTCCTGGCATCTAGCTTCAGCCTGGCCCAGCCCTGGCTGTTGCGCCTATTTGGGGAATAAACCAGCAGATGGAAAACCTCTCTCTCTCTCTCTCTCTCTCTGTCACTCTGCTATTCAAATCAATCAACCAATCCTTAAAAAAAAAAAAAAAGAAAAGGAAAAACGAGAATAATCGCATCTAGCATATGTCAATAAGTTCCCTTAAAGGAATAGTGCATACAAATATATCAAAAGGAATCCGGCAGATGACAGACACAGGGTAAGGATGTGATGATCTGGAACTGGGAGGAGGGGAGGGCTCTGGAGGACACCCAGGGCTAAGGGGAGGGTTTTCACCAAGTCCTAACTTCTGCAGAGGTCTTTAAGAAGTTTATGAAAAAAGGTATGCCTGGTTAAAAAAATATTTGCACCTGGGGCTGGCGCTGTGGCACAGTGGCTTAAAGCCTTGGCCTGAAGTGTCAGCATCCCATGTGGGCACCGGTTCTAGCCCTGGCTGCTCCTCTTCCAATCCAGCTCTCTCCTATGGCCTGGGAAAGCAGTGGAAGATGGCCCAAGTCCTTGGGCCCCTGCACCCGCATGGGAGACCCAGAAGAAGCTCTTGGCTCCTGGCTTCGGATTGGCACAGCTCCGGCCATTGCGGCCAATTGGGGAGTGAACCAGCAGGTGGAAGACCTCTCTCTGTCTCTACCTTTTTCTCTAACTCTGTCTTTCAAATAAATAAAATAAATCTTTAAAAAAATTTGCAGCCCAAAACACCTTTCTTTTAATTTCATTACTAATGTACTTTAAAAAATATTTATTTGAAAGGCAGAGAGAGAGAGAGAGAGAGAAAGAGAGAGAGATCTACCATCCACAGGTTCACTGTCCAAATGCCTGCAACAGCCGGGACTGGGCCAGGTTGAATCTGGGAACCAGGAACTCAACCCAGGTCCCAGGTCTCCCACATGGGTGGCAGGTGCATAAGTACTCGAGCCATCATTTGCTGCCTCCCAGGATAAATCAGTGCCAGGACTTGAACCTGCACTCCAAAAGGGTACACAGGTGTCCCAAGTGGTGGCTTAACCCGAGCTAGGACGCCCACCCACCGAGACTTTTTGAAGTATCCTTGTAGGTGGGTGGGTTTGCAGGTAGTGGTTACATTATTACTAATTAATGCTCGGTGCTGAAGACACTGCTCAGGATGCCTACGTCCCATGGGGGGACCTGGGTTCCAGCTCAGCTCCTCTCCTGACTCCAGCTTCCTGCTAATGCACACCCTGGGAGGCAGCGGGGGACGGCTCAGTGGACGCATCCTTGCCACTCTCACGGGACACCTGGGTTGAGCTCTTGGGTGAGCCTGGCCCAGCTGCAGCTTTATTTTGGGCATTTGAGGAAGGAACAAGCAGATGGGAGAGCTCTCTCTGTCTCTGCCTGTTTGTTTCCTCGACTTTCAAATGAATAAGGGGCATGAATACAACTAAACAATGTAATGATGAAATAAGTAACAGTATAAACAAAAGCCAATCATATCCAGCCCATACAACAGCATAGCACAGACCAAGGGACCTGAACGTTGAAACCGAAGCAAACCGCAGAGGACCGGACCCCAGGCTCTCCAGGGGCCCCTTTGGCAGGGGCTGTTTGGAGCGATTCTCCAGGAAGTTGGAGCCCCTCCTGCTGCCTGCCCCGGGCCAGGTGGTTCCTGTTGCTAAGCCAACCTCCTTCCGTCTGGAGAGTCCTCCTCCTGTGTTTAGCTTTAGATCAGCTCTCAGCTTGTACTGATCTGGGCTCTCTGGCAGGTGTCCAGAGTGGCCCCGCCCCCCTGCCCAGGTGTGGCCATTCTCCTAGGCTCCCCAGATTGGCCGGGGCACATCTGTGTGTGCAGAGGAGTGGGGAGAGGAAGAAGCCACGGAGGAGGAAAGGGCGGGGTGGGGGAGAGGAGGGAGAGGATGGTGAGATGGAGAAAGAGAAAAGGGGACCGGGAGAAGGAGGAGGAGGAGGAAGAGTGGTGGAGCCCTACCACCCGGCTCCGGCTCCTTACCTTGTAGCTCCCAGGAGGCAGGTCTCCCGCTTTGGCACCGGGCAAGGGCACTGAGGCTGGGGCCTGGGCAGGGCCGGAGCCTGGGGCTGGTCCTGCCGGGGGGGCCCCCTTCCCTTTGGCATCTGGCCCTGGGTTCACGGCCGCCGTGGCTGTGGCCTTCACAGCCTGAGACATGGTCCCGACCTGCAAAAGTCTGCACGGAAACCCCTGGCCTGCGTGGGTCCTGGCTGGCACCGCAGGCTGCCTCCTGCTCTCCCCCCCGCCGTCCCCTGGTGCGTTTCTGCCTCCATGGACTCATCTCTCTCTCCTCCAGAAACCTTCGCCTGCACAGCTTTCGATGCCCCCCATTTTCCAGGATGCCATCCCTGGGTCCCACAGGTCCCTAGTACATTTCCTGCCGCTCCTTCTACCAGCCATGCCTTTCCCTGTACCCCTGACCAACCAGCCAGTCCCTCCTTAGCCCTCTGCCAGTCTCCCCCAACCCCACCCCCACTAATCCTGTTTGGTGGTCTGTGCACCAGCAAGACACCTGGCCAAATTAATAACAAGAACCAGGCGCGGTCACACACAGTGTCACACATTGCAATGTGGCCCTGACCCCTTGGAGGAGCCGTGACGGCACTGGCACCAGCCCGGCACAGCCTGAGGCTTGGGGTAGGGGGTGCTGTGTGTGCTGCTCTGTCACTGAGACTCTGATGCAGCCCCTCCCCTCACCCTAGCACCCGGCTCTATAGCCAGCACACAGGAGGCTCTGGGTTAGCATCTGTTTCAAGAACGAAGGAGCGCATGTGTTCGTCTCCTTTCCCAGCCGGCTGCCTCTGGCCCTGTCTGGGGGCCCGGGCTGTGCGTGCAAATTCAAGCCAGGAACTGGGGTGAGAAGGAGGCCCCTGAGGAGGCCCTGAGCGTGCGTCCCGGGCTCTACCACGGGGGCTGTGGCCGTATGGGTGGTAGGTGGAGAGGGCTGTGGCCCCCTCCAGCGGTTCCTCATAGCTTTGGGGTCACGGATGCCTCTGAGTGCTCAGTGAAGGCCTTGACCTTGTCCCCAGAATGAACAGACCAAGCCCTCCATGCCCTAGCTTTCCTCGTCTGTGAAATGGGTACAACCCTAGAGACTGGCCGAATGGACAGAGCTCCTGGAAGTGCAGATGCAGAGCCGCTGGCCCCAGGGTCCCCAGAGCTGCCTGTAGGAGGGGCTGATTTGGTGGGCAGACCCCTGCCCCGGCCTCCCCTGGGGCCACACTGCCCACACTGGGCAGGACAGGCATCTGGACCCCATCTGGGGTGGCTGCCGCCACCCCCTCTCTGCTGGCAGCTGAACCAGCTCCCTCCTGGAGACGCGCTCATTCTCTCTCTTCCCCACTCCCCGTTTCTCTCACTGTTTCCTCCAACTGTCTTTGTGTCTCTCTCCCCATCTCTCTGTATATCTCTCTCTCCCCATCTCTCTGTATGTCTCTCTCTCCCCGACTCTCTGTATGTCTCTCTCTCCCCCGTCTGTCTCTGTATGTCTCTCTCTCCTCTCGCCCTCATCTCATCTGAGTCTGTTTCTAGTTCCTTCACCATCTCCTCCATCTCTCTCTGTGTCTCTCTAGCCCCATCTGTCTCTCTCTCTCCCCCTGTATCTTGCCCTCACTGTATCACAACCTCTCTCTCTTCTTTATTACTTTTTTATTTCTCCCCTCTCTATTTCTATCTTTTATTTTCTCCCCTATCCCTCTCCTTCTCCTCCCTTTCTTCTTCCTTTACCAGCCCCCTTGTCTCTTTTTCACTGTATCTCTGTCTCCCTCTCTCTCTTGTCTTTATTACGTGTGTTTTACTTCTCCTCTCTCTATTTCTATGGTTTCTTTTCTCCCTCTCTCCCCTCCTCTTTTCCTTCCCTGTCTTCTTCCTCTATCTGCATCTCTCTCTGTGTGTTTCATTCTCTCCCTGTTGCAGTCTCTCTCTTGCTCTCTCCCTCTCTGTGTGTGTGTTGCATTCTCTCTCTGTTTCTCTCTCTGTGTTGTATCCTCTCTCTCTCTCTCTCACTCTCTCTGTTGCATTCTATTTCACTCTGTTGCATTCTCTCTCTCTTGCATTATCTCTCTCTCTTGCTCTCTCTGTTGCATTTTCTCTCTCTCTCTTGCATTCTCTCTCTCTCTGTTGCATTCTCTCTCTCTCTCTTGCATTCTCTCTCTCTCTCTCTCCCCCCTGTGCTGTCTTGTGTCCTCCTCTCTCTGACTCTCCTGGCTGCCGCCCCCTCCCCTGCAGCTCTCAGCGGCTGCAGCCCGGTGTATTTCCTCTTACCTGGGCCTTGCTACTTCCTGCTAGAGGACAGGCAGGTGGACAGGCGGGTGCTGTGGGTGCCTAGGGGCCGACCCCCCATTTTATAGTCTGGCAGACACCAGGGCCTATAGTCTGTGGCACAAAGGGGGTGCTGGCTCAGCAGGCCTGGGTGGGGAGCAGAGCCTGGGGCCCTGCCCTTGGCTGCAGACAGCAGCACTTTCCATTGTGAGCCCAGAGCGCACAGCAGGAACCTGGCCAGCAGCCGCCTCATCTTCCGTCCCTGCCCTGACCCCCTTCTGCTGGTGGCAGCCGTGGGACGGGGCCCAGGGGAGCCCCTGGGAGGCAGGGGCTCTGGGTTTGAATCCTGCTCAGCCAGCGTGTGCTGCGCGGGTTTTGGATGCTCAGGGCCTCTGCACCTGTAGCTCCAAGGTGGACCCGAGCGTTCTTGCTGGTTGCTGTCCAACAAGAAAGAGGAACACAGTGCCAAGCCTGAAATGGGCTGGGGGGTCCATGGCCCCGATTACCGAGGCCTCACCATGAGTCAAGTCCAGCTGCAGACGCTCTGTCCACTCGGCCAGTGTGCAGGATATACCCATTTCACAGATGAGGAAAGCAAGGGCACAGAGGTGCAGCTGGCTCTGGCTCTCATTCTTTATTCTCACCCTCTCTGACCTTGGTCCTTGGCCGACCTTGCTGTTGCTAAACGGGAGACGAGGAGAGGCCCGCTGGTCTCACCCTGCTCACGTGGCTTGGACACTCGAGACCTAGGTCGTGCTGCCGTGTCTACGCTGGGCCCCCTCCTGGCTGCCTTGCCTCTAAGGTGCCTCTTGCCCCCATCATCTGTCCCCAGGGGCAGAGCCGGCAGCTAGGGATATGACAAGCATCTCGGGGCCTCCCCAAACCCCATCATATTCGTTCCCTGCTGCACCAGCACCCAGCATAGGCCCTGGCGTCCAGTGGGCCCGAGGGACCGGAAGGGAAGGCGGGCCCGGGTTGAGAGAGGGAACCCAAGCTGGGGGAGAGAAATCGGGAGAGTGACAGGGAGGTGTGGAGAGAGACGGAAACGCAGATGTGGTGGGGACAGAGCTCAGGGGGAAGCCGGCCCCAGGACTCAGAACAACCAAGGCCCCTGGTGGAACAGGGGCACCCCGGGGAGCCGCTCAGCCCCACTACCTGCAGCTCCCCTGCCCCAGGCAGGGGGGAGGGGCGTCCATGTGGGTTCCTGCCTCTTCCTTGGGGGTCCGAGATCCCCACGGAGCCCATTTCCTGTATCTCCGTGGCCCCGGGCCAGTTCTGCCTCTGCCGCTCCACCCACCCCGCACCCCCTCCTTTCCCAGCCTCCCCTCGGTCTTTCATCTTGGGCCAAGCTGAGGTTGGGGGCGAGGGGGTGGCAGGAACCACAGGATGGCGCAGCCGCTGGAACCGGGGCCAGGACGCCTGCGGCGGGGGCCACCCACAGGCTGGCTGGGGCAGCTCCCTGTCCCCCACGGCAACGGGCTGCCTGCCAGAGATGGGGGACGGCCCACCCTGCTGGGGGGCTCACTGCGAGGGTGGCATCTCTGGGCTACATCCACCCCCCCTTAGAAGCTTCAGCGTCTCCCATCTCCTCCTTCCACTGCTTTCTCATCCATCAAAAGGAGTTGGAATTCACGGCTTTTTAGCACCTGGACCCAAGCCCTCAAAAAATGGTCTCCTGGGCTGTTGCTGTGGCTACTGCCTGAGAGGCCAGCATCCCATATGGGGCCAATCCAGCTCCCTGCTAATGCACCTGGGAAAGCAGCGGAGGATGGCCCAAGTATTTGGGTCCCTGCACCCACATGGGAGACCCGGAAGAAGCTCCTGACTTTATCCTAGCCCGTCCCTGGCCAGGGGAGTGGCCACTTGGGGAGTGAACCAGCGGATGGAAGATCTCTCTCTCCTTTCTCTCCCTCTCTCTCTCTCTCTCTGTCTCTCTCCTCTCTCTTGCTCACTTGTTTTGTCTGTAACTCTGCCTTTCAAATAAATAAATGGATCTTTCAAGAAGTGGGGCACTCCTGCGTTTTACGAAGCGCTCCTTAACAGACAAGGACGCATCTCCGTTGTGAGTGATGATGATGATAACGAAGATGATAATGAAGATAAGGAGATCCACAACGCTTTCCAGGCCCCAGGAGCAGCTCCAAGTGTTACCCGTAATAATTCACGTTGGTCCTCACGAGACAGCAATGTCTTAGCAGAAACCCCACTTGGGGTGCTGCTGTGCCTGTTTTGCATACAAACAAACTGAGGCTCGGACAGGTTAAGGGACACACTCACAGTTACCCAGCCAGCCAGGGCGGGATCCGAGCCAGAGTCATCGGGCCCCTGGCCAGCTCCTTCCTAAGCGAGGAGACATCCCTCCCAGGCCTACTCCAGGGGCAGGTGCAGGGACAGGAGGCACACAGCGAATGTTGCAAGCCGTGGATATTTGGCAGGTGCGCTACAAGCTTGCGATGCGTGTTGTACCCAGTGGCTCCTCGCCGTGCCCACAGAACCATCTGGACTCCTCCTGAGGGCCCTGGCCCTGTCCACCCCTCCTGCCTCACTCCCGCCCACCTGGACCACCTGCATTTTCTTGTGGTCACCTCCACACTTTCGCTTAGCCTGCCCCTCCTTACATCTCAGTCATGGATCTCTCCACCCCGCGGAGCCTAGTATAAATGCCACCTCCTGCATGCAGCGCACCCTGGTTGCTCCAGCTGAAAGAGGAAGAGGCAAAGAACAGCATTTGTTGAATGTTTACTCCGTGACGGGCATGTGCCACAAGCTCCTTACAACATCATCCTGTTTTACAGTGAGGAGGCCAAGGAGACAATGACTTGCCCAGGACCACACAGCAAGGAGAGCCTTTGTCCACCGCACAGCGTCCTGCCACAGGCACAAGCCCCGTGGCGCTGACTAAGGCAGACCTTGCGCCTCTGGCCATCCCTGCGGCTGATGCATGGTTCCCTCCCAGCTAGAGCTGGGGCTGCTGACTCCTCTGGCCTGGGCTTCTGCCAGGGCTGCCTTTTGTTTCTCGCGCTCCCTTGCTGAGTCGGGACTTTGTCTCCGGGGGGCCCTTCTCCCCTCCCGGCCTATAAGAGCCCTGAGCTCCGCGGTCCCCGTTCTGACACAGTCTCTGGGCCCATCTCGGTAAGTCCCAGGTTGGAAGGAGGGGTGGGACCGGAGCCTCGAGTGAGCACCCAGGGAAGGTGGGGAGCCCGGGTTCCTCCATCCCGAGGACGCCACTGTGTCGTCTCGATCGCCAGCCCCATCCTAACCAGGGGCAGGCAAGTCATGCAGGTCATGGCAAAGCGAGATGACTCCTGTTTGTCCCTTTGCCTACATCTCCGCCGTGAGAGCGTCCTTGTTGGGTTTGGTGCTGCAGTGCACCCACCAGTGACAGCCACGGCAAAAACTCTCCCACGGTACCCAGAGCTGAGATCAGGGGCGAAGGCACTGGGAACCGGTAAGCTATGAGATGGTGACGGGGCCGGAGATGGCACTGGTCACAGATGGACAGGGTAGGGCTGGCCACCTGGCCCGGTCACATCTGGACCCCACCTGGATCCCGCCAGCGTCAAGGAGGAGAAGAGAGTCAGGGCGGGAGATGATCCTTGATCCTGTTCTCTCCCTTGCAGGAAGGGGCCAACATGACCCTGCAATGCACCAAGTCAGCGGGACACTGGAAGGTAGGGCGTGGCCTGGGCAGGTGTGTCCAGGGAGTGCGGTGGGGGTGGGGAGACCCCCGTGCCCGGCTCCACAGAGTCCCCTCCTCACCCCTACGAGGAAGGAATCAGCAAGGCTCACCTCACAGCTCAGGCAACCAAGGCTCAGAGTGGGAAAGGGAGTTGCTCAAGGTCACACACAAGGAGCTTGAATTTGAACTTGGGGTTTCTGGGTCCCAAACATGAGCTCATAATTATAGCGTCCCCGGGAGAGACGGCGAGCAGACAGTGAACATGGCTTCTTTGATCTTCTCTGTGTTTACAAAAAGAAAAAAAAAAAAGTTTCAAGCTTGTCAACTGCTTGACAACCTGGAGGTTTTCAAAGGTTTTCACCTCTGGGGTCTAGATTGGGGAACCTGCAGTCCCACTTGGCAGTCGTGGGTGGCGCTAGAGAGCGGCCACACAATTACCGGGGGACCTGGGCTTTTGGTTCTAGCCAGCTCGGGGCTCCCTTACCTGCCTGGCCCCGGAGGCCTGTGCATTTGTGGCCCATCTTGAGCCCCCCACCCCCCGGCCCCAGTCCCCCATAGGATTCTGACGGGGACTGACCCCTGCCTTTTCTTTGGGGTGCAGATGGTGGTGTGGGACGAGGAAGGCTTCCAGGGCCGGCGGCATGAGTTCACGGCGGAGTGTCCCAGCGTGCTGGAGCTCGGCTTCGAGACTGTGCGATCTCTAAAAGTGCTGAGCGGCGCGTGAGTCCCGGAGGGGCGTGGCGGGCTGGGAACAGAGGAGGTGGTGGGGGCGGGGGCAGGAAGGGACCTGGCACCTTCCCGGGCTCCGACCATGCAGGTGTGCCCTCCTGAGGTGCTGAGCCGCGCACAGGACTACCTGCGTGGTTCCAGGACTACCTGCGTGGTTCGGTAGGTCGTGCACTGCCCAAGGGTAGGACTCAGCATTCCCACAATCCCTGCTCATCGGATGGAGCGGCTTGGCAGGGGGAAAACCTCAGAGCTGAGTGTTGGGTCTGGAGTTGCCCTCTTAGGCATAAACCAAAAGCCAAATTAGAAGGTAAAAATAAATACTGTATGTTTAGTAAAAAATGCACTGATTTGTAGCTAAATATTGTTGCCCGTGACTCTGAGGGTGATGCCTGCTTTCTTTATGTGGAGGGAGAGGTGGGGGGGAGGTTAATAAGCTGTGGAGAGACATTAAAGACATGCTAATAACATGTGTTCTCCACCCTCGGTCATTCACAGCCCCTGGATACATGGCCACCAAGGATTCCAACTATAGCAAGTGGGAGTAAAGGACTTATTTTTATTTTAAAGGTTTACTTGTTTGAAAGGCAGAGTCATGGAGAGAGAAGGCAAGAGAGAGAGAGAGAGAGAGAGAGAAATGGCTGCAATGGCCGGGGCTGGGCCAGGCAAAAGCCAGGAGCCAGAAGCTTCTTGCAGGTCTCCCATGAGGGCAGCAGGCCCCGGGCACGTGGGCCGTCCTCTGCTGCTTTCCCAGGCGCATCAGCAGGGAGCTGGATGGGAAGCGGAGCAGCCGGGACTCGATCTGGTGCTCTGATGCTGGCCCCACAAGCCGCTGGCCCTGAGACCTTAATTTTAATTTGGATTTAATCTTGATTTATTTATGTTGAAATGTAATTAATGAACCGCCTGTGACCAGTGACTACCACTTTGGGTAGAACGTTCTAGAAAGTTAGAAAGTGGACTGACAGGCGTACACGGTGCCTTGCCTGTGAGTGCCACCTGCAGCCACCTTGGATGGTTTTCACGTTCGCTCAGCTTCTGCTTGGCACACAGGTGCGCCAGCGGGGGCTCCGGTGGGGACCGTGGCCCGCAGAGGGCTGTAAGCAGCTGACTTCGGACTTGGCCAGTGAGGAGGCACTGAGTCTGGGTAGCGTGGGCCAGGTTATTGGATAGACAGCAAACGCAAGGTGCACATGGTGACTGCCTCCTGTGTCCCCTGTCCCCTGTCCCATGGGACACCACCAAAAGCAAGGAGCCAGGTCATGGGAAATAGGAGTAGGAGAGGCTTGTGGCTGAGAAGGGACTTCCCTGCGCTGGTGGCAGCCTGATGCTGCTGTCCCCACCTGAGTGGCTTGTTATCTCGGGGGACCCAGAGAGAAACCACCAGATTGGAAGTGGAGCAGCTGGCACCATCCCACATGGCAGTGGCTTCACCCCTGTGACATAACATGGGCCCCTGCCCCAACCTTGACACCAAAAGTGTCTCCAAGCCATCAGCCAGGGGCTCCTGGAGACACTGTCACCCCCTGAATGAGCCCAGTGGCTGAGACCTCCGGGCGGGGGGGCCCTCACTTCTGCTCTCTGCCTCTCTCTGCAGGTGGGTGGGTTTTGAGCACGCCGGCTTCCAAGGGCAGCAGTATGTGCTGGAGCGCGGCGAGTACCCCTCCTGGGATGCCTGGAGCGGCAACACCGCCTACCCTGCAGAACGGCTCAGCTCCTTCCGCCCGGTGGCCTGCGCTGTGAGCCGATGCCCATTCCAGGGGTGGGGAGGGGGGCGGGCTCCCTCCAGTGGGCGCCCCAGAGCCCAGCGGGTGCTGGGGAAGGCAGGGGTTCCAGAGCCTGCTGCCGGTTCCTGGTTGGTGCTCCCAAGTCGTCCATGGGGGACGCGTGGAGGTGGGCTTCGGATCCCCTCTTACACTCAAAACCACTGAGAACAGGAGAAGGAACCGTGGTTTGTTCTGGAAGCAACCAGATTGGCGTGGAATGACGTGAGGCGCCCTGTTTTACCATCTGAAGTTCAGGGGAAAATGTGCCAGAAGGAGAAAAGTCACCCAGCCATAATTACAGATGAGCTAGAAGCCCACTGTCAGGGGGCTGGAGATGGCCTCTGCTTCCCTCCCTCAAATGCCCACAAACCCACGGGGCTGGGCCAGGCCAAAGCCAGGAGCCAGCAAACCCATGCTGGCCTCCCACAGGGGTGGCAGGAACCCAAATAGTTGGTGGCCAACACCTGACACCTCTCAGGAGCGTAGGCAAGAAGCAGAGGTGGTACCCAATCCCAGGGCACGCCCGTAACGGAGGTGGGTGTCGCAGGGGTGCCTTATCTCGCTGTACCACAACACCTGCCCGTCGCAGGATTTGTGCTCACAGAGCTGACGCCCTTCCTCCTACCCTAGTGCGATACGCAGTTTGCCCCCTGCCCCTGCTCCCTCATGGCTGGACATTCAGGTTGATTCCCTACGTATTGATTGCTTTTATTGCTATACCCAAAGCCCTTGCAGCTCATTGGGTCGTTGATGAGTTTCTTTGTGAATATTTCCGCAAAGGGAATTTCGGGAAGTATCAGGTGTTCACCTCTTGTAAGGTTTCTGGTTCCTGTTGCCTTACTGTCCTTCTAAAAGGCTTGGGGGACAAGTGCGGGGGCATCTGGGTTTCCCACTCCGCGCCCGGGAATCTGAGCCATTCCCTGTGCCCATAGAACCACCGCGACTCGAGGCTGACCATCTTCGAACATGAGAACTTCCTGGGCAGGAAAGGGGAGCTGAGTGACGACTACCCCTCCCTGCAGGCCATGGGCTGGGACAGCAACGAGGTGGGCTCCTTCCACGTCCACTCTGGCGCGTAAGTGCATCCGAGGCTCGACCTGGCAGGCGGGGAGGGGGAGGGACCCTGGGAGAAGAGTGTGCTGGGTGTGTCTGTGGCCTGACGCCCACTTTCCAGCGACCACTGAGGCTCAGGGAAGTAACACGCAGGATCCGCGGGACTGCAAGTGACAGGTCACACTGGTGTAAGCCTAAAGGATATTTATTGGTAACAGATTCAGGCAAGCTGGATCCAGGTGCCTGCCTGGGCGTGGCTGCATTTTTACCTTGTGAAAACACAGAGGGTAGCTCCATCTTTCCATTCCTCTCCTTTCTCCCAAGGATTCCATCAAAGATTTCAGGAAAGGCTCTCATTGGTCAAACACGGGTGACGTGCTCAATTCTGAACCAATCACGGTGCCCACAGGAGTGGTGTTTTCTAATTGGCTAGACCTGGACCAATCACAGTGCCCAAAGGAGCGATGTTTTCTAATTGGCTAGACCTGGTCATGTGCTCATTGCTAGACGCAGCCCCCTTTCCCCACCTTGTCGGGGGGCGGGGGCAGCAGGATCTGTGGCAGAAGAGGGGAGATGGGAGCTTGGCCACAATGAAACAGGAGGGTCAAGTTCAGCGACAGAAGGGGACTGAAGTCGGCTTCAGGTTCAGTGCTCATGGACCCTCCCCATTTCCCCCCCAGGAGGCTGAGATCCTCACGAGAGAGGGCGCCAGCGCCAGTCCCAGCTTCTCAGGGGCGCGGGAGGGGGCGTGGCGAGTCCCAGGCACTGAGGACGGCAGGGTCTCCGGGCTGGGTGTGGTGCTCGGGTCCCTTCATCCCTGTCCTGCTGAGCGCGCTGGTAACGGGCCCCTGCCTGCCTCTTCCCTTTCCAGCTGGGTCTGCTCGCAGTACCCGGGCTACCGAGGTTTCCAGTACGTGCTGGAGTGCGACCACCACTCGGGCGACTACAAGCACTTCCGGGAGTGGGGCTCGCACGCCCAGACCTTCCAGGTGCAGAGCATCCGCCGGATCCAGCAGTGAGCCGGGCCTGGCGGGGAGGAGCTCGCGCGTGCCTGTCTGCTGCGGGGCAGCCCCGGAGGGCGGCCCGGCTCTCCGATCCGATCCGGCCTCCGCCGGTGCCCTGTGTGAACTCCGCACGCTGTGAGCCGGCCCGTGCACACTCAGCACAAAAAGCCTCAGAGTAATAAAGAAAAGATGGTTCGCTATCAGCTGTGCTTTTTGATTTTCTCAATCTTTTCCAAACCTACTTTTCTTTCTATCATTTGCATTTCATTTTAATGGTGTTTGCTTTTAATAATTCCTTCCTCCTGTTTACTTTGGGTCTGCTTTGTTCTTAGTGTTCTATCTTTTTTGACTTATTTATTTATTTTACTTATTTGAAAGTCAGAGAGAGAGAGAGAGAGAGAGGGAGAGAAAGTCTTCCATCCACTGGTTCACTCCCCAATTGGCCGCAGTGGCCAGGGCTGGGCTGATCTGAAGCCAGGAGCCAGGAGCTTCTTCCAGGTCTCCCAAGTGGGTGCAGGGGCCCAAGCACTTGGGGCATCTTCCGCTGCTTTCCCAGGCCAATAGCAGGGACTTGGATTGCAAATGGAGCAGCCAGGACTCAAACAGGTGCTCTGATACTGAATGCTGGTACCTCGGGTGGCAGCTCTACCCACTGCCTCAGACAGCCGGCCAGCCCCCATAACCCTTTATTTCTTCTCAATTCCCTATGACATCCGATATCCTGAAGTCTCTCATCTAACACTCTTCACCTTCCAAAGAAAGCCCATCAAACAACAACAACAAAAAATAAACTCCCAAATCATTTACAGCCTAATGACAAGATGGTCCTCTCCTCTCCCCTCCCCTCCCCTGCCCTCCCCTCCCCTCCCTTGCCCTCCTCTCCTCTCCTCTCCCCTCTACTCCCTCCCCTCCTCACTCCCTGTCTCTGTCCCTCCTCCCTCCCCTTCTCACTACCCGTCTCTTTATTACATAGATTTCCTTATTCTCTCTCATAAACTCTGTGACTTTTTTTTCCGGATTCTCTTGACCCGTCTTCCCCCGTGCACAAATGTCCGTGATCTGTGATCCGCCTGCCAAGAACAGGCAGGCGCGGGGAGGAGCAGCCTGCGGGAAGAGAGAGCCTTCTTCAGCCCAGGGATATTTGCCCTGGAGCCAGTCCAAGCCCTTGTGTATCCTCCCAGTCATCCTGTAGTCCACCTTCCCCGGGCTCTCCTGGGTACCAGGCTCTGGGAAACACGATGGTAAACAACCCACAGGAAGTCCCGCCTCCTGCTCAGTGTGCCGGGAAGACAGATCCGGGCGTGGCAGGTGAAGCCTGTCCTGTGACAGGTGCTGCAGTGGGGGAGGCTGGGGGGACAGAGGGTGGGGAGGGGCTGGTCACGGACTTTCTTTCTTTCTTTCTTTCTTTCTTTCTTTCTTTCTTTCTTTCTTTCTTTCTTTCTTTCTTTCTTTCTTTCTTTCTTTCTTTCTTTCTTTCTTTTTGACTGGCGGAATTAGTGAGAGAGAGACAGAGAGAAAGGAGAGAGAAAGGTCTTCCTTCCGTTGGTTCACTCCCCAAATGGCCACCACGGCAGGCGCTACGCCAATTCGAAGCCAGGAGCCAGGGGCTTCCTCCTGGTCTCCCATGGGGTGCAGGGCCCAAGCACTTGGGCCATCCTCCACTGCTCCCGGGCCACAGCAGAGAGCTGGAGTGGAAGAGGGGCAACTGGGACAGAATCTGGCGCCCCAATCAGGACTAGAACCCAGGGTACCAGCGCTGCAGGTGGAGGATTAGCCTAGTGAGCCGCGGCACCGGCCTCGGACTTCCCTTCTGAGCTCCACCCTTGGACGTCCACCTGCCTGCTCAACACCTCCACGTGGGTGTCTCATATACGTCTCGGAGCCCGTGCTGAGCCTCTTTTAGATTGTTCCAGCCCAACCTTTGGGATGACCCATAGCTCTGCCCCTTTTTCCCACCCCACAACCGACTCGGGCTCTTCTGAGATGCACCGGAATCCACTCACTGCCACCCTCCGTGCTGCTGCTACGCTGACCCAAGCACCCTCCTCTCTCCCCCTCAGAGTCTCTGCTTCTACTGCTGCCCAGTTAAAAATGCACGGTGCAGTGGCCAGCACCTCTCTCTCTCTGAACTCTGCCTTTCAAACAAGTAAATAAATCCTTTAAAAAAGATTTCATTTATTTATTTATTTGAGAGGTAGAGTTACAGAGAGAGAGGGAGAGACACAGAGAGAGGTCTTCCATCCGTTTGTTCACTCCCCAAACGGCCTCAAAGGCTGGAGCTGAGCTGGTCGGAAGCCAGGAGCCAGGAGCCTCTTCCGGGTCTCCCGTGCGGGTGCAGGGGCTCAAGCCCTTCGGCAATTCTCCGCTGCTTTCCCAGGCTACAGCAGAGAGCTGGATTGGAAGAGGCGCCTGGATTCGAACCTGTGCTCCGATATGGGATGCCGGCGTCATTGTCTTCCTCTGACTCTTTGCTCTGCCATCTCCACCCCAACTCCACCTGCCTGAGGCCACGCAGCCTGTGAAAGCATTTAGTCCGCCACGTGGGGTGTGTTGAAGACACAATGGGCACACATAGGCTTATCAACAGTAAGTTGCTGCATGCGTGTCGTGCCTAAAAGGAGTTGAGACAGGGGCAGTCACTGAACGCAGCGGTTAAGACGCCGCATGGGACAGCTGCGTCCTATGTCAGAGGACCTGGGTTCGAGTCCCAGTTCTTCTTCCCACACTTCCACTCCAGCTGCCTGAGAATGCACACCCTTGGAGGCAGCAGGTGATGGCTCAAGTATTTGAGTCCCTGTCACCCCCCCCCCCCCCCCAGAAGACTGCAGTGGAATTCTGGGCTCCTGGCTTTGGCCTGGCCCAGCCATGGCTGTTGCAGGCATTTGGGGGAGGGAATCAGCAAGTGGAAAGTTCTCTCTCCCTCTTTCTGTCTTGTCTCTGTCTCTCTGCCTTTTAACTATAAATAAATAAATACGAGTGTTTAGGAAGTAGCTCCTCACACTTCAGTATGAATAACTGTAGAGCTGCTTATCAGATCCCTGGGGGGCAGGGCAGACAGTGTTTGCCAGGGGAAGGAGTTTCCTTGGACTTTGAGGGGCAGCTCTTTTAACAGCCGGCCAGAGGCAGGGCCAGGAGTGAGTCTGGCAACCATGGAGAAAGGAGACCCCAGATGTGCGCGGACGCTGGAGTGAGAGGCAATAAAGAGACAATTTGTCGGGGGCCACCCGTGGGAGGGGAGGGAAGAGAGCGTGAAATTATTTTTCGTATCTTGCCAGGAGACCAATTTTCCTAGGCTATAAAGGCGAGGGAGCTTCCATTAGGGACGGTCTGGGCTCCAAAGGAAGTGGTGGGGTGGAGGACAGCCCTGGTCGGGGCATCGCGGTCTGCTCTAAGGATGACCGCAGGAGCGGCCGGCCGGGGAACCCTGGACCAGAGAGGGGAAGGCTCAAGGCTCGGTCTCAGACCCTGAAGCAAGTCTGTCCGCGTTGTGGCTCCCTGCAGCCCCATCCGCGGCTGCACGCTCTGGGTCCCGCGGGGTGAGGTGCGGGGGGGAGCAGGCGGGGCGACCTGCCCTGCCCGGAGCCCCCTGGCCTGTTTCCTCCGCTTGTAAAGGGCCCAGGAAGGCGACATCTGGAAAAGTGCAGGCCAAGGTGCGGCTTCTCCCTCCCCCTTCCCTGAGCCCTCTCCTGATCCCTGGCCCAGCCTGGCTGCTGCTTCCTCCTGCGCCCTGTCCCCCGTCCCCGCCCCCACACGGCAGAGCCACAGTCAGAATGAAGCCCCCAGGAATGGAAGGGGTGAGGATGTTGTAGGATACCCCCCCACCAATTCCACGGTCCTCCCATCGCTAGGACAGAGCAAAGCTGAGTTTGCCATCCCCAGGCCTCGCGCGGGATGAAGACTTGAGGAATGCTACCGACTCATGCTGCTCTTGAGCGGGGCGTGGCTAGCTTGTGTGAGCACCTCTGATTGGCCCACGGCGCTCGGGGCCCTCCTTTGATTGGTCAGCCATGGCACCTGCCTGGGACTTTCCCGGCCAATGCTGTCCCGGCTGGGGTCTGGGGGCAGCAGGTGGATGACGCACAGCGCCGTTGCATCACAGCCTGGGGTCGTGTGGGGCCTGTGCAAGCAGAGCGAGCGGTAGGAGAGAGATCACAGGGGCTTCGCTGAATTCTGAGAATTACGGGACCCGCCTGACCGTGCCACCGCGGCCTTCACTGAATTGAGTTCTTCACTAAGCAGCTGGCGTCTCACGAGCGTCGAAGAGCAGACAGGAACTGCAGGCGCCAGCCCAGGGATCAAGCCTGCGTTAGAGGTGTTTGGGATGGGATCGAGTCCCAGCTGCTCCACTTCCGACCCAGCTCCCTGCTACTGCGCCTGGGAGGCAGCGGAAGATGGGCCAGGTCCCTGGGGCCCTGCCACTCACGTGGGAGACCCAGATGGAGTTCCTGGCTCCTGGCTTCCACCTGGCCCGGCCATTTGAGGACTGAACCAGCACATGGAGGATTCTCCTCACCCCCATCCTTGTAGTTCTGCCTTTCAAATAAATAAATAACCTTAACAAGGAATTAGGGATAGTTGAAGAGCTGTACAGATCTGGGTGTGTTGATGAGAGGGAAAAAGGGAGAGAGAGAAAGAGGGAGGGAGGGAGACAGAGAGAGAGAGAGAGGAAGAGGAAAAGAGTGAGCAAAGCGACCGTGTAAGCACTTATCTGTTATCGAGAAACAGCACAGCGATGGCGGTTACAGTAACAGCACCCCCCACCCCCCTCCGCCACCGCCTTTCTGGAAAGGAGACAGAGAGGGCCCAGGGCCGGGCGACACCCCCCCCCCCCCGCCCTGCCCCGGCCCCGTTATCCCAGAGCCAGCAGCCTCCAGCGCCAGGCCTGTCTGGATCCCCACTCCTGCACGCTGGGTAATGAGCCCCGAGCCCGGAGCCCCCTCCGCAGGGCCCCGGCCCCGCCTGTGGGCGGCGAATGCCCGCCCACCCCTCCCGCTTCCCGGAGCCTCCGTTTGCAGCCGCTGTAATTACAAGATTAATGGAGGGGAAATATCAGCGGGGTGGAGAGGCCCTTCCTTTTCCTGCCAGGAGCTCCCCAGCTCCCAGAACCTTCTGTTAACAGGAGACATCCAGACATCGGGGCAGGAGGCCCGCGGTCCCCACAGCTTCCTGCGGGGGGCGGGGACGAGCTGTTGTTTTTGGCTTT